TGTGTGTGTGTGTGTGTGTGTGTGTGTGTGTGTGTGTGTGTGTGTGTCACCCACAGGTCAGGCCTGTGCTATTAGAGTAAGTGGTGTTTCCCCCTCAGTCATCTAAGCAGTACACAGACCCTCATTGTTTCCTGTTTTCACTGTGTGCAGAGAGAGTCCAGGCCGAGATAGATGCTGTGGTCGGTTCATCCAAGAAGCCTTCTGTGACTGACAAAGAAACGATGCCTTACACCAATGCAGTCATCCACGAAATCCAGAGAATGGCCAACATCCTTCCCCTCAATTTGGTCCGCATGACGGTCAAGGAAACCACGCTGGACAAGTACACAATCCCAAAGGTACACCATGCTCATATGAGAAAGTATTGCATTATCTGAGAATTTAACTTTGTTTTCTAAGTTGGATTTTCTGACAGCATAGCTTTCAAATATGGTGCTTTTTGGCAACCAACTGAAAAACAGAGGAAGCTTAACTTCAGAGAATAAGTGAACCAAATCTGCAAGTTGATTTCCATGATGTATTGAAGTGAACTGAACAACCAAGGACGATAATGACTTCCTGTAAGGTAAGAAATTAGTTTAAAATAATCATAATTAATGTAGAAAATACATTTATTGAGTTATGATCACCCGTTATAAGTAATGGGCCTAAAATGTACAAAACCACTGTTGCACTTTTGTTGTGCTAATTATAGATTAGCAGGCATTTTACAGTTAATAAATGAATCAACAAAATACTACATGTGTCCATTTGGAAGCTCTTCTGGGAGCGTTTGATCATATCGCATAATAATCAGCCCAGTTGTCATGCAGTTCAAATTTCTTTGGAGCACAGAAGTTCTGGTGCATGTTTGCTTATTTGTCGAGATTAAAGATACATTCCTGAAAAGTAGAGTCTCTGTTTGATTTCCCGTTTTCATCGATGACATTTCCTCAGGGCACCATCATCATGCCGACACTGACCTCGGTTCTACGTGATGAGTCCATGTGGGAAACTCCACACACCTTCAACCCTCAACACTTTCTGGACCAGGACGGCAAATTCAGGAAGAGAGAAGCCTTCCTTCCCTTTTCAGCAGGTCAGTCAGTAGTTACAACGCTGTAGAAGTCAGTAATACGTTGTTTCAACCTTAAGGGCTTTACAGATGAAAACAACACAAAAAGATAGATACTATTGCTTGCCAGCAATCATTTGCATGTTTAAGCATTTACTCGGCCTGCATCGAATAGTTCGAAGCTAAACATTCAGCTTGTATCCATATTTGTTGCAGATAAGCTTTAAAAACCAACATTTTCACTACGGCTTTCCGCACACAGTGACGAGTTTTATTTATTAAAGATTCAAAATCTTTGTGAGGAACTTTAAACTTATTATTAAACAGTCTCAATGTAATACCGATGCCACTTTATGACCTACTGTACATAAGTAAACGAGACCATCAGCGTAAAGATGGACCTTTTGTATATAGTTATTCTTAATGACTGTAAAATGGTGCCACCGGGTCAAAGTCAGATGAAATCATGCAGGTTCACTCCGGAAACATCCGGCTTCATTGCCGCCTTTGGAAGCTCACCAAAAATCATCACAAAAATGCTTAATTAAAAACAGACTAACTCATTAAATCTTAAGAATCACATTATTTATTAGAAAACCTCAATAGAAGCTTCGATTTAAAAAAAGAAAAAAACAACAGCCCTGCTACCATTAATCATAGTTGGGAGGGTATCAGGTTGCATGTCTATTATTTGGTTGTTTCAGACTCTGAGCTGCAGCAATATGATATGGTCAAAGTAAATAAAAGTTGTGGTGTTGTTGTCCTCTCAGGGAAGCGCGTGTGTCTCGGGGAGCCGCTGGCCAGGATGGAGTTATTCCTCTTCTTCACCTCCCTCCTCCAGAGGTTTTCTTTATCGCCGCCGGCTGGAGAGCAGCCCAGTCTGGACTTCAAGTTAGGAGCCACTCTCTGTCCCAAACCGTACCGCCTCTGTGCCGTACCGCGATAGACCAACACAATGAATCAATGTGTGACTCTACGCGTATCTTGCAATACATCAACTTTACTATCATCTAGTAAAACATAATGTGCCCGTCGTTCTTTTTCATCTCGATAAGCTTTTTAATAAGATTTTATGTTATAAATGTGACCTACTGTCTTCAAAAGCATATCACAGTTCACTCATTTCTTAAATACTTTCCACAGCACATTGTTTTTGTCAGATTTGCTAAACCTTTACATTTGTGTAACTGAATGGGTTAGTCGATGTTGACACTGGTTTCAGTCGGAGGTTTTGCAGGTGAGAAAAACACTCACATTAGAGAATCCCACATTAGTCTCAGTGGTGTTTATCAACCTGTATGATGCCTGCTGTTATTCTGAGTTTAATCTGCAGTTAACTGGATGTTTCAGTCATGAAATTTATGTGACAAAAAATGTTTCATCTACCTCCGATTAATATGAGAAAGCGCTTTACGTGACAGAAAGTAACACTTTGAGGTGTTTCTCTTAAATTTAACCTTTTGTTTAATTTTTTGAATTGACATATAAAAACATCAAAGTTGAAGCTTGAGGTCTCCTTTCATGTGAACATGCACCTCGTCTCACTTCTGGGTTTCCCCTGTAAAGCTTTTGAAGTCAGAAATGGAAAATAAACAGCGAGGAGCTTGAGAACGTCTGTCTCTGCTTCTTTTTTCTCAAACACAGTCGACACTCTGAAGGAATACGAACATACGCAAGCAGCTAAATGAGAACAAATATGGGAGTTTAATAATTTATTTTGTATTGTGAAGTGACCTCTTTAGGACTAAAAGTGTAAGTTTGTTTTACCAACCTTGCTACTTAAAAGGAAAACCAATACATGTGTATGTATTGTCAGTAAATCATATTTTAATGTTTACTTCAGTGTTTACCTTTCTGTTCATCAGCACGTTTTAAGGTTTACTGTAAAACCCCTCAAAAGTGTCGGGACTAATGGAAATAGGTTGCTGTGAAGCTACTGTCAGCAGCTTTTTCAAAGTATAAAATGACATGTTACATGGTACACTTGATTATCTGCTAACAGCAGTGCGTGTAATGAGAGCAGCGTTGCTGCATTGCTGACATTCAAAGTCAACTCAGCCTTTTGTGGTGATGAAAAACAGGCAGAGAAGTGGGACAACAACGTTCAAAGTTTCTCAGTTTGCCAAAATACCACCAAACTAGGTCACTGGCCTCTTTTAAGATGTCTCATTCGTGCAAAAAGAGATCACTTCAGTCCGATTCATCTCACAAAGCTTTGAAAGCAAGTCGACTGTGGAAGATGCAACGATGGCTTAAAACGGTTGGATTTTATCTCGTGAAACTCTGGTGAGCTTTATCTGAACACGTCTGCTAATGTTACTTCATGGTATCTTTGACAAGAGAAGAAAATGCAGAAAACCCAAATTACTTCTGCATTCAACATTTCTATCAACTTCAATGTTTCATGAAATGAAATGTTGAGATTTGACCCAGTGCATGTTGATTCTCTGCAGGATAACACAGTGACATAAATGTCTCTTTACTGCCGTGGTGCACGTGTCACAGAGCTAAAGTTCAACAAAACAGTGCGTCTTCCTCATTTTAGCTGGAATGTGTACACTGACGGCCGAGGTAAGTTTTGAACATCACATACGGAAAGAAATTCCCGTTGAAGTGATTCTTTAGAAAGAAATACCTTTTTGTTTTTCAGCTGCCGAGTTAAGCCGAGTGGATTCTAAGAGGTTAAGAAAGATGAGCTGAGATGAATCTCTCCTCAACCTTGTGGAGATTAATTATTATACTTCTCAGTTTTCCCATCAAGCGTGAGTATCCATCCATCCACATCACTACTATCAGCCTGTTTCTGGCTCTGATTCAGTGAGGAAAATGTTTCATAGCAAAGCCAATGCACATATATAATGGGAAGAGAGGGAATCATCTTGGGATTGAAACTTGTTCACTGTACGGCCGGCATTCAAATGCACCATTGCTTTGGATTGTACTGCTGTGAAACCCTCTGGGTGTGTTTTATTGTGGACAGGTGGCCCTTTGCTCCCAGCTGGCTGCCAGCGCTTCAATGGCTCTGGCTACCTGACAGTAAAACCAGCTCCACTCTTCCTCATCGGCTCGAACCTCACAGTGTACTGCCGCATCCTGACATGTGAGCGGAGGTAGAAAATACGATCAAATATTATACGATACAATATGAATTATTGTCATCTGTATTTACATTTTTTATGTATAAAAGGCTTTTCAGAGATGTTCAGATGCAGTCGTGTTTTTGTCTTCCAGTTTCACAATATCCCTAGAGCTGAATGGTAAGACTGTGGCTTCTCAGAAGAAAGTCAACTGCACCACGATGATGTTCAGTCTGTTCAATGTGCAGAAACCAAATTCCATATTGCGCTGCAAGCTGGAGAATGATCAACTGTCTAAGGTTGTCACTGGACTGGACCTACACGGCGGGCGTATGTACATTTACCAATCATATGAGGTTGGGATTGTGGGAATTAGAAAGAAAAAGCAATATTTTTAGAGAGTATTTATGTGTGTTTTGGGTGGTTACTATCGTGATTCTGCAAGGTGGCCGGCCTGGGTGCATTCATTCCTTAATTTCTGGTAGTTTTATGTCGTCAAAGAGGAGTATCATCAGTCCGACGACCCCTGGGGGAAACCGATAGCTGGGCCTGTTTTTGTGGCTTTAGCTGCGTATGAGAGTCTCATTCAGGGGTTTAAAACTCACTTGAGTTCATGGGCCACATACAACCAGGCGGCAAAGTCTGAAGAGTGAAACCAATGCAGAAGTGCCTTAAACCTGCATTCTGTATAATGGGACATTAGGGGGCGACTCCTCCGGTTGGAAAAAGAAGTCGGATTGTATAGAAGTCTATGAGAAAAAGACTCTACTTCAAACCAAGAACCCGTTTAACGAACACATCGACTTCAAAATGAGGGAACGTGAAGAGCAAAACTGCTGACTCATTTTACCGGGTTTGAGGACTCATTCCTGCCTCTTGTTACTTTTAGCAGGACGGCACAACCTCAAGTGGACAGGAAGGAAGCAGTGCATTTAATAAAGAAATTGGAATACGTGACATTTCTGGAATTTACACACTTAGCAAAGTCATCCAATAGGCCCGATTGGTCCCTTTGGCACCCCTGGTCTAATTACAGAGTCACATGTGGAGAATACATTATGCAATATCATATTCATCACTATGGTTTCATGAGTGTATAATCCCCTGAGACTAAGAATCTTTGTGTTTTCGTTAGCTTAGAATGAGCCCTTCAAAAATCTACACAGGGAGCAAGTCCTCTTCAAGGAGTCGTGTTTCTACAGTAGCCCAGAGTGGACAAACCAAACACTCCCTAGAGAGAGCCTTCCACAGGTTTACGTAACCTGAAGGCCGCTGTAGCTCTCAGACACACTTGGAAATGAGCAGGGGGTTGTTCTGTTGGTTGTTCTGTTGGTTGCAATTTGCAACCTTTGCCACTAGATGCCACTAAACCCAACACACTGCTCCTTTAACACTGGGATGGGCAGCTCTCATAGAAGAATAAGTAAACGAACGTGTTCAAAAATATGAAGTATTAAAAAGCTTGAAGAAGCAAAACTTGATTTTCAAAAAATTTAAAGTTTGAATGAAGCTGGAGAAAATTCTCCCGTGATTCTGTCATTCTTTTTGTCAATGAGCACTCTGGTAGAAATAGATTTGTTTTGCGTTAACAGGCATACAAAATGTCAGTGGCGTGCTTTCATTATTTTTCTAATCTGTTTTTCATCCTCTGTGCTTAAAGTCCCTCCAGATAAACCTAAAAACGTTCTCTGTGAAATATCAAGGAGCTCTGATTTTATGACCTGCTCATGGGAGAGAGGACGGGAAACGCACCTCCTCACTACCTACAACATTTCACTCAGCAGGTATGGTGTTAATTATAGGTCCAATGAAGTTATTGCCTTGTTTTCTTGCCCATAAGACAACAACAAACCGTACTTTTAATTTTGTTTATCAGAGAAAATGGGACCCAGATGCTGTTGGATCAGATCCAGGATGCTGAAGAAATCACCATACCCCGAGCAAAGCTAGATGAAAACAATACACACCAGTTGAATATCGCTGCTTACAACCACTTTGGATCATCGCGATCTGATCCGTTCTTCCTCTGTGTGAAGGATATAGGTAAGCTCAACACTTTCTCTTTAAGGAGTGTTATTTTAAGATTTATTCTATCTGAAGTATTTCCAACAGAAATGAGTCATCCTGTTCATTCCTGTTAAGTGTCGTGTTATTCTACCGTCGTCACAGTTTGACTGATTTAACCTGGCTATCAGCAAACCGTTTCTCTGTTTTTGTAATATTTCTTTGAAGGGGAACAATTGCCCCGCCGACTCGGCCCACAACTTGTTGCTGTTTCAGTCGTTGACTTTTTGAGTCATTACCGAACTGTTATATAGTTTTGTTTTGGAGTTATTTGTGCGTGCTGGGAGTGGCAGCCATAATCCCACTGGATAATGGCTGCCACTTGTGTGCATGCTTCTTCTGTGTTCTTTTGTATTGCAGTAATACCAGAAACCCCTCGTATCCTGCAGATAGAGTTTGGGCATAACTCCAAAGCAGCCCTGTTGCAGTGGAAAACTTCTGGATCCTCAGAGAGTCTCAGATTCGATGTCCGACTCCGCATAGATAATGGCTCTTGGGTAAAGTGATGCCGTGGCGCTCGTGATGGCTTTGTGGTTATTTGCAGCGGCCGTGTGACTTATTGCCTTGATGTTTTCTAGGAAGTGGGAGAGGGAACAGAGCCCACTGAGGGTCTGATTCAAGTGGATGGACTGAGGCCTCTGACTGATTATGAGTTCAAGATGAGAACATGTAGCTCGCCCGGGTCAAACTCCAGCAAAAGGTCGTTCTGCAGCAAATGGAGCCCATCTGTTGGGGGGAAAAGTCCGGGAAAAGGCGAGCTCACAATTCTTACTTATCATGCAACAGAGGCAATCTGATACCCGTGATGATGTGAGAGTTTGTCGTCAGTGAAACAAAACCCACAACTTGTGGCTCAACTTTATCTTTAGGTCCATCTCAGCAGATGCACGTGTGGAGGATGCTAGGCGGCCTGGGGACCGATGGGCTGCGGTTGGTGACGGTTTTGTGGAAGGTAATGTGTCAAAGCTGTTCAAAGTATTGTGATACTTGGCCGTAGAAGTCATTATAAAGTGCTTAATAATGTGTTTTGATTATAGTTAAGTGTTAAGCTTTATGTATATTTATGACTTTAATTATACAGTGTAATAAGCAGATTAAAATGCATTATAGGTAAGTTTTTAATGCATTATAGACATTAGAGACAGTTATTTTGGTAACACTCTCTTGGCAAAGACCTGCTAGACTGTACCCAGCCAAGAAATAGTCACACAGCCTCCCATGAAACCACAATTTGTTGTTTTTACTCTTTGGTTTTAGTATAGATTAAACACAGGAGTTATAACGTGTTAATTAGTGAGCATTAAAGGTGCCAGTAGGTACCTTTCCCCTGTTTCCAGTATTTATTCAGAGCTAAACTACCCATCTGGTGGCTATGGGTTCATATTTAATTTACAGAAATAACAATGGTATCAATCTTCTCATCTAACGACTGACAAGAAACCAAAATAAATAAATATATAATTTATAAATAACCATATTCCTCAAACTGTCGTAATAGTCCTTTATAACGGATGGATAAGTGATGGGTGGACTTCTTCCTCAGCCTCCATCTCCAGACGATTACAGCGGCGCGGTGCAAAACTACGAGATCTTTCTGGGTAATGACCAGAAACAGGAAGTGACCTGTCCTGCTGCTTTGAGCCGGTGTTCACTTCAGGTACCAGCAGAGCTCCGGGCACTAAGCGTCAGTGCTGTCACCTCGTACGGGACGTCTCCACCGGCTGACGTGCCACTTGGACGCTCAGGTGAACCCATATTAGATACGCAGAAGATAAAAACCTTCATGTTTAAGTTGCAAAGAGAAAGAGAAAGATAGAGTGTGCTCATGTCTTGATGTCTAACTGTTTAGGTGTTTTTGGACCCATTTTGAGAGAGTTGGCTCCTGCAGCTAATGGCAGCTCCGTGTTGGTCTCCTGGTCGTGGCCGGGGAACAGACGCCCGTCAACATCTGGAGAGGAACCACTGCACTACGTGTTAGAGTGGACAAGTGTGCCTGTGGCAGAGCTGCAGTGGCAAAAAGTGCCTAAAAATCAAAACGGCACTTTCATCAGAGGTACACACACACACACACACACAAAAGAAAATGGTATTGCATCACATAACATGGCACACAAAGTTTAGAAATGTCTTCAGAGATAAAGCAGTGGCCTCTTGTGGGCAGTCGGTGAATTACACCAGTTTGTGCTTTTCTAGTTCTAGTTTCTGGAACATCTGTTCTCAACTCTCAACCAAAGGTGAGTGTTTGTGAAACATGGTGGCGCTCGTGGTGAGAGTGTTAAAGTTTCCCTCTGTGTTGTTTCAGGTCTGAGTGCAGGTGTGAGGTACAATGTCTCTCTGTATGCTGTGACCAGCAGAGGCGTCAGTGCTCCATCATCCAGTCTGGTCTACTCCAAAGAACAGAGTGAGATTCTTAGACAACACAATGTCCCCAAAACTACAATTTTACAATTTAAATATCATCTGAGTTTATTAAACATTTAAGAGGGATGAAGACAACACATGGTATACGGCCTCTGTCTCATTGTACGTGTTTCAGAGCCAGCGTCTGGTCCCAGCATGTCAGTTCTGGTCCATGACTCCAGACGGATCCTGATCCAGTGGGACGAGCTGCCTGTAGTCAAGCAGAAAGGCGTCATCACAAACTACACCATCTATCTCCAGACGCTGGACTCCAGCAACACAGAACTCAGCGGTGAGCTTTTGAGTGCATTACATGGGCATAACATGGCATAACATGGGCAAATTCAAAGTGGGTGTGATGTGAATGGGCTAAATTCACATCATGGAAAATGTGTTTTCTAAATTCTATAATCAAATTTTTCCAATGCTGTGAGCACCGAGAACGAAAATCCATTAACCTCCGTTGTATTGTGGTGCCAGCTATTTGAAAACGTGACTTATCCTGTAAAAAGGACGAAACTGTTTGCTCGGCTGGATTCCACCGGGGCCGTGTTGTTTGATCTAAAGGTTTGGAGGGAACACAACTCTGCTGTGAATCGTTTCCTGTTCTTGCACAGAAAAAGGACTTCTCTTTTACGGTGCTCGGTTAACCGTATGTTGTATGTGCGTGTACTTTACCTTGGCTTTCTACCACACCCCTGTGTGTGCACATGTGTGGGAAATTTAAATCCGCAGTAGTCTGCATGTATTGTGTTACATAATGGAAAGTGTGCAGCCAGCATTGATACTCCCCTCCCACAAAGTCAGCAGCAGGGTATTTCACCTTTCACTTCCAGTAAGGTGGTGAAAGTCAGACAGCAAACTGATGGTTGCTCTTTTTGAATCTTCTGTGATTAATTACCTCCACCAAGGAGATCACGTTTTTTGGTTCAGTTGGATTTTCATGAAACTTGGTGGAAGAGTGTAGCATGAAGAACACATTAAATATCCGAGCGGATCCGAATTTCGGGGCGGATTCACGTATTATAAATACCCGGGTTATTTCCCAGAAGACAATCTGTCTTTTAAAAGTTAATCTGTCTTTTTTTAAAACGAGTGTCTCACAAAGAAACTGACGCTCAAATTAGGTCACTGTCATAAAAACAAATAGTGTTTTTCTTTTGCTGCAAGGAAAAAATAATTCAAGCGACGCTTCCATCAGCAATGGATTATGGTGGTATTTCATTTATGCATGCAAATGTATTAATGTTAGATCCAGTAAATCATGCTGCGTTTCCATTTGTCTCATTTCAGTTTGTATGAGACAGGGGGTTTGTTTTCTTTATACAAGCACAGAAGAAAACACCATTTTATTTTTCTGTATAAGGCCATATTACACAAACTGCCTCCTTGTCTATGTTCTCTATTGAAACCAAAAACGATCAGCAGCTGCAAACTCTAATCATGCAGACAACTGAGATACCTCATCCCGAGAACCTTCCCCGTTTCTGGTGAAGCGGGGATTTTGCATGTAAGATTTTAAAAACAGGATTAAGCATCATTTGTCCCAGCACTGAATTCTCTTTTATTTAACTTTTTTTTAGGTTTTTTATGTTGTTTTTAGCTTTTTTACCGTTAACTTTTATGGCGCTATCTTGGCCAGGACCCCCTTGTAAAGGAGATTCATAATCTCAGTCGGATTATCCTGGTTAGATAAAGTTTTAAGAAAATAAATAAATGATTGTTCACTTTTGTTAACGTTGCGAGATAGGGCCCTTCTAGTTATTTATTGAAACAGCTAATACCCACATAAGAGCCGATGGAGCACAACAGATGCTTCATACTTTGACATTTGCTAGTTTTATCGTCTCAGAAGGCCTGACTTGGAGTTGTATGCTACAAACCTCTTGGATGGCAATTTCTCGATGTACAACTGTGGAATGCAGACGTTCACTAGTGAGCAAATTGATCTTTCAAACACTGGTTGTCATCGTTTTCACAGAGACTTCTGTGAATCATAGAGTTCTCTAGAACTGTGTTTGACCACGAACAGGAAGCTATGTGGCTACCTGCACACATGCAACCGTTATGGTTGCTACTAACCAGCGTGCTTCACACACTATTTCTGGAGCTTCAGTGTGAAAATACCTGAGAGCTTACTTTTTCCTGTTTCTTATGCGACATCTTTTGTGTGTGTGGTCTGTATGCAATCACTTCTATAAGTAATTTTATCGAAAGTTTCACTTTAGTTGCAGGAAATAATTCTGCATACTCTTGGGTGCTCCTGCAAATGATGATGTACTTTAGCAACAGAAAAATTAAGCTCAGGTCGAGAGTCAGAATGTCAAACTCGAGGCTTTAAAACAGCAGACCCCCACCCTAAAGCATCCCCTGCTTTATGGTCTATTTGACTCGAAATGGAGCATCATTTACTAAATGAACATCATGCTGTATTGAAGAAGACTTGAAACTAGAGATTGAGACCATAAACTCATGTTTACAATGTTTACTGAGGTAATAAATCAAGAGAGAAGTAGAGTCATTTTCTGATGGACTTAAATGCAGTATGACTTCTTTTTGCAACCAGAAGAGTCGCCCCCTGCTGGCCATTAGACAGAATGCAAGTTTAACACAATGGCTTCCCTCTTCAGAACCAGAGTTTGCCGCCTGGTTGGTAGAAACTCCAGATACCAAAATATTTGCGAACAAGCGCTGAAAGAAGTGAGTTTTTCTTGATTGAAAATTAATTGTTCAGCAGTAGTCAATTTAGAGACTTTCAGAGGTAGAGCAGGTCGTCTCCCACTATGAAGATCGGCGGTTTGATCCCCGGTTCATCCAGTTGATGTGTCCTTGGGCAAGACACTTAACCCCATTGCTCCCGAAAGCTGTTCCTTCAATTACTGACTTCCGCCTGATTGTAGCAATTGAATTAATGCAGTTAAATTTGCCTAACTGCATATTTTTAAACATAAAATATCTACAGCAACAGTAATTGTGACATTTGCTCTCCTCCAGTGACGGTGCCCGGCTCCGGCCCCAGACGGATGTGGCTGGACTGTCCTGAAGGAGCTCTGGCTCTGCAGCTGACTGCATCCACCTCGGCAGGAGAAGGGCAGCGGGGGAACCGGATCTGCTCTCAGCCTGAAAGCCCTGCAGGTCAGTCTCCTGCTGCCATCACGTGCCCACACTGACACCAACATCAAGGCTGTTCTGTGGAAGCAGTTGCCTATAACTGTAATCCCCCCACACACACCCACCCCCTCCCATTTTAATGTCTGGACAATTAAAGAGTTTTAATAACTCTCTGACTCTATCTGTTCCCTTCTTGTCTCCTGTAGTTGGCCTGCTGATTGTGGCGGTTTTCATCGTCACCCTCTTTATAGCGATCATAGCCAACCTGATGTGCTGGAGCTGTGTGAGGCAAAGGTATTATTATTCATGCTCATTGTTTTGTGGAAAACAACAGTCATCATCTTATAATAGCGAAAGTGTTCTGATGATGAACATCACTTTTGTCCTTCAATCTCCTGCAACGGATTTTGAACGTGCATAGCTTTTGTTTTACAAGTAACCGGGATGGATGCCACTGTGGCTGATTTGAAATGCCACACCACAACACGAGCACATGAACAAGAAGCCACACAGCTAACATGAACAGAAAAAACCCCAGCTGTCGAAAAAAACATCATACTCTGTATATGTGGTCAAAGCACCCCGATCTGATACTGAGTGTGTGCTCCAAAATGTGTCATCTCCATCATTAGTAACACACAGTAGCCATTGGTGGAATATAACGAAGTATATTAACTCAAATATTTCCATTTGAATGCCCCTTAATACTTACAACATCATATTGTGCTTTTTACCTCATTCCATCTATGTGACAACTTCAGTTATTTAGCAGATTTAGAGAATGAACGTTAGCTCCACCTTTACCAGCGGAAAACAGTCATGAACACATTAATGCATCACTAATTATAAACCAATAGTACAATAGACATTGTTCTGAAATGGGACCATTCAGCATCATGAGTATTTGGTTTTTTTAATACTTTTGTACTTTTATTTAAGTAAGATTTTGAACACATGACGTTTACTTGTTTACACTGTTGTGTTGCTACTTTTACTTACGTACTGCTACACTGACAGTAGCAGAATAACAATGTTTTAGTTTTTTACTTTTGCACATTTTGCATCATTACTCTGATAATAAACTATCATTATCAATACTGGGGAAACTGCTCTGACTTTAAAAACCTTGTTGTCTTTCTATCTCAGGATCAAACAGAAGTGTATGTCGTGGGGACCTGCCTGGCTTCATGAAAACTTACCAAAACTAGGAAACAGTAATGCCATCCGACTTCTGGAGGTAATAACAGCAAGCCGATGAAGCCAACATGTGTTGACATTCACGCTTTCCTTTTTTTGTGTGAACTGCTGTCACCAAAATAGCAACAGCTAGCAACTGCACCAACACCAACAGTACTTAAAACAGTTTTGAAACATGATTAAAAACAACAACACTAGTTTCTAAATGTTTACTCATCTGAACCAAAGCAGGAAGTGATGTTATTCTCTGCTTTCACAATGACAACTTTATGAGCTGCTGTAAGTGAACACCAGAGACACGTTTGTATATTTGCATTATATTCATCACTTCTAACTGTGCTTTTCTTTGTTTTTGGTCAGCAGCAGTACGGAAGTGAACCGTCCTTCTCGTCCACACACAGCGACCCTCCGCTGTCGCCCATCAGTTTCATCTCTCAGGGGGGCGACGTGTACCCCACCGTCCACATCGACATATCCCACATCGGGTCGGGACCCACGGCGGAGACACCTTTGCTAACGTCAGACTCCGGGACGATGCTTGTTGACAGCCTGCTGGAACATGTCAGCTACAAACCCCAGATTGCCACATCAGCTCAATTAGGAGAGGAGTGGAAGGAGACAGAGGACGAGCAGAGGGACGTACCGTCAAATGGGGAGGAAGACAAATGTGTATTTGGAGGATTGCTGGGAGCCTTTCTGTCCAGCGCCAAGGTGGATTTCTCTGATCCACCCCTGGGGCTGACCCTCAGCTCTGTCGGTGGTCTTCTGTGGCCTAAAAGTCCCGAAACAACAAGTTTCTTGAATGGAGGCTTCCTACTAGGGAGGAGGGGGACTGAGAACGAGGTGGAAGCGGATTCGCCCTCTCTGGATTTACAACAGGGTGAAATAATGACTCCTGACACTGAGGACACTTGTTTATCTCAGCATACAGTTGAGACAACACTGACTGGTGGTTATTTCCCCCAAGCAGCCGCTGTGAGCAGCACGACACTGTGGGACACACAGAGGTAGCAGGGACGATGAGAAGGACACAAACAAACAGGACCATCTGCACTACTAAACTGATTTCAAAGAAAGCATTATATTCAAGCGCCACTTTGCTTGAATAACACCACGCTGCTGGAAACCCAGGCTGTACTGCTGGGCCCGCTGGAGGGAAGGGAGGCACGGGAGAACCAGGACTGAGCGGGGCGGACTGTCAGACCCTGCTGCTGTATAAAAAGAAAGGTTTTCTACATGACAACTTTCGTCCACTGACCGCCATTAAATCAACACAAAATGAAAAGTTCCTTGTCATAACTTGAATAAATGACGTCATGTTTATTTTGAGTTTGACTGAATGCCATTCTAATAAGTGTTTAGCAATAGTCACCATTGTTAGTTATAGATAGATGGATGGATAGATGGACTGTATTACACTGTTACAGCAGTTGAGCTGAAAAGACAAAGATAGTATGCAAAAAAACTACACAATACAGCACCGTCATGAAGTTAGGGTTTTAATTTGTCTAACGCTTTCGTATTACAACCAAACACCTGGACAACTAACGACGATCCCGTCAGCCTCGGCTGAACTTTGTGTTTGGTGATAATTAGCAAAAAGGTGGTGAACATGGCATGCACGTTAGCATGCTGATGTTAGCATTTAGCTCAAAGCACCGCTGTGCATAAGTACAACCACACAGAGCTGTTAGCATGCCTGTGTTATGTTGTTGCTAAGCTTTAGCTGCAGAATCAAGTCTGCAGCTATAAAATAACATTTCACATATTAATGAATGTGGTCTGATCTTTCTCCAGATGCTTCGTGGTATTCCTGATTAAATCCAAAAAAACTAAAACGAGACTAAGCTTTGTATGCTGGAGGAGGATTTACACCAGCTTTTCATGATCTGGCAACCAAAATGTGCTTCTTTCAGCTGGCTAATTGCTGATTTATAATGAATTTGTTATTTTTTAGCCGTTATTAAAGCCAAAGCAATGATTTGTTGAACCACCTAAAGTAAACATTGGGAGCTAAGACGTGTAACTCATCGTCATGCAGCAAAATAGCTGTTCCATATGAAGTGTTTCTGTAATTTTAATATTGGGGAGTGACCTGTGTTTTTTCATGTTAGCATTGTGTTATGTGGCGGTGAAGTGATGCCGAGTGTGAAATTGTTCCAAAACACACCCAAGCAAAAGTCAGTTGGGGGGTTTCCCTGTTACAGATAAGTGTATGGTATCGTTATCTGAACCATAGGTTTAACTTGTACACGCACCACCTGCTGTCACACTGTTTCTTAAGACTTCCTGAGCGTTGTCTCACTTCCTCATTGAGAAATCTCAAATTTCAGGAGGGTCTCTTCTTCACAGAGAGTCTTAATAATGAATCTTCAGGGGCCTCGATGTCTTTGAAAATCTTCTGCAGTTATTACTAATCCGGTGCATCTAAAGGTGAAATGTGGTGCAGCTTCAGAGGAAAGTCCCCCCACTGCATCACATGGGATGTGATTGACGGAGTGAGAGACTTTGGTGCTGTGTGGAAAATGTGATGGTGAAAAAGCATCTGAGGGTTTGTTGTGCTGAGGCAGGTGTCATACACTCCAAGATGTCATCTGAACAGCAGCCTGCAGACTTTCCTTATCAGGTCACAATATGTTCACTTCTCTTCCTTTTGGGATTCAGGACTATGTGGGATCAAACCTGCAACTAAACTTGATTACAATTATCAATTGTATACAGGTACGTTAAATTTGATCTCTGCATTTAACCCATCCGAAGCATTTAGGAGCGGTGGCATTGAACCACAAATCATCTGGTAGCTAACCATTGAGACAGATTGTTATGCTACAGTATTCTGTAGTAGTCTGGGGATGATGATCGACGGTCCGTCCGTCCGTCCCACGCTTGGTGGTTACGTGATACTTAAGGAACGCCTGGAGGGATTTTCTTCAAATTTGGCACCAACATCCTCTTAGACACAAGGATGAACTGATTCGATTTTGGTGGTCAAAGGTGCCTGTGACCTCACAAAACACTAGTTATTATGACAATTTCACACAAATGTCTTATAGGATAAAAGATGACATTTTGGACAGACCATAGATGTAAACTATCCTCCAGGTTCACCAGAAGCTCCTTCAGCTCAGACTCCGGCAGCAAACAGCCCGCCGTGGACAGACCCAGATCCGGCTTCGTTGCCGCCTGCAGTCCGAAGCTCCGTTGGTCCCCTCTGGTAGACTAACCAGCTGGAGACCCAGGCCGGATTGCTGGGCCCGCTGGAGGGATGTGCATGGTAGAACCAGAACCAGGACTGAGCGGGGAAGACTATCAGACCCTGCTGCAGCAACATCAGACGGTTTCTAAAGAGACGTCTGGTCCTTGGAAACACTACCACTTTTGTCCACAGGGACCGCCAAAATGAACACAAAATGAAAGTTCCTTGTAGTAGCTTTAAGTAAAACTAAGTATCATCAGCAAAAATATCAGAAGTAAAAGTTCTGAAAAAATGTTCCCTGTTAATTTAACTTTAACCAGTAGACTACTTAGAAAAACATCTCTAGTTTATCAGAAACAATCAAATAGAAATAGAAAAATCATCAAAAATGGAAATACGTGGTTTTCACCAGACAGGAAGGTTATGAAAAAAATGTAGCCTGTAAAGCAACTATTATGCTGCCAGACAAAAATAGTAGAGGACAAAGTAGAATATTTAAGATGTAGTGGAGCAGGAGTATAAAGTTGCATACAATGGAAGTAGTGCAGAACTTGAGTAAATGTACTCAGTTACATTCCACTGCTGCTGATGCCTCATGATCAACAGGCTGAATCTGCACAGTCTCTGTGGAGCCTCTGCGCGCGTGTGTCTGCGCGCGTGTCTGTCTTCACTGATGATCTGTGACTCACTTCTCAAGAGAAGTTTGTCCCTTCACAGCAGACAGAGGCGACAGTGCGCCACCGAGGCGTCTCCGCCGTCGGCTTAGTCTGGATAAACTCATAAAATAAAGATGTTCAGGAAGACTTAACGATGACAGATAAGGCTTCAAAAGACTCGGAAAGAAATAAAAGATAATGTGACGCTGGGATGTGATGTCATGGTAAGTACGGCCATATTTCCCTTTTTGTCGCTTTATCAATAACATGACTGCTTATTGAAATATATTCATGGTTTAATATGCTACAAATGGTTGATTATTGGATTAGCGCCATCGACCAGGAAGGAATTTCATAAAATGGTTTTCCAAGATTAAAAAAAAGCTTTTGATCATTAATATAATTCCTCAATAATCGCTGCAGCCTGGTTGACCTCATGCATTCGTGTGTTGTTCCTTGTTTTAAGGTAAGCAAGAAGTCCCTGCGGGAATGTAAGCGACATAGAGGCAGTTACTGATGACTCATGGCGACAATGTCCCGAACATGGACCATCTTCACTGCTCTTACTGTGCTGGCCGTGCAGCTTTGCAATGGTGAGCTCGGACTAATGTGTGGACACGTTCTAACATTTCAATTTGTAAATAGGTTTTCTTCATAGTGTTTGGATTTAAAAGTCAGTGGATTTATATGAAAAGCCTTTCTAAACTAAAAGTTGTTCTGAAAGTGCGTGTTTAAATTGTGCATCTAAGGATGAAGTGTGCAGAATTACATTTCTTCATCTGCTTGAAATACAAAACGCATTGTAGCCTTCTTACCTTCACATAACTAGATGACATGCAGCTTCATACAACTTGATTTCTGCTTTTAGGTAGGAAGTCCTGTGCCCTCTGGTCCAGCGCTGGACCTGTGGTGCAGCGAGGCTCCAGTTTCGAGGTGTACTGCACCTTTAACTGCAAGTGTCAGGGGTCCATGTACAGCGACCATCCGCCCAAACTGCAGAGCCACAAAGAACTGAATTCTACAACGATATATTTTCGTGTGGCAAACATAACCAAGAACAGAACATACAGCTGTCAGTGTAGGTGTTCTCCTGAGCTGGACCCCTGTGGAATGGACTTCTCAGCTGGATGTGAGTATGAAACCAGGGAACCTCTGTCTGAGGAAAGTTTCTTTATTTAGTGTGTCTAAGACTATAAGAATGCAGGGACGTTTGTCAGCACATCGTGTTTCAAGTTGATACTTTCATATCTTAAGGCATGACTGCAACTTCTTTCAAGCTACAAGAGCTGTTAAAAAAGAGGCAGAGCCGGTTCTGCTTTCTCTTCTGTATTTAGAGAACACACTGTTCGGCTGGGTGCTTGGTTTTTTTTTAACACATAAAGCATGCCAGTTCCCCAACACATTATTATCAACTTGTTTTAAAGTAAAACACTCAATACTGAAAAAGATTCCATCTGTTTATGCAATGTAATCGCTGACATTAATGAATAGCACACTCTGCATTTAATGGATTACTATAAATCTGAATATTTGTGTTTTTTTGAGGATACAACCATCTAAGTTTTCTATGTAATAATATATTATATCACTTCCTAATTTGATAGTCCTGCAGCTTTGGTGTCGGGTCACGTAACTTCGGCTCGAGCCACAAATTTGATGACTTAAGACTTTTTTTAGGCTGATTGTCAGGTTTATGTTCTCTGCTCATTACCTTTCATTAAATGATTTCATCTTTTCTTGTCCCTCAGATCTACCAGAGCGCCCTAAAAACATGTCATGCATCTACAAAGTCAAAGATAATGAAAGGGGAGTTGTGTTCTGCACCTGGAAGAGAGGACGAGACACTTTTCTGAGGAATAATTCAGTGCTGTGGTGAGTTTTAAACAAAATTCTAATTGAGAAGTCAACAAAACGATAATATATTACTGGGAATGTATTACTGTAAAATTTAACATTGTATGTTTCAGGGTGAAGACTGTATCTAAAAACCACACTGATGGACCGCTGCCGCACAAAGGTTCCACTAAGGGAACTGGTTTGTCGTCAGCTAGTTTCCCCGTGTCCAGCTCTGTCCAGCTGATCTCTGTGTGGGTAGAAGCCCAAAACCCACTGGGCTCTGCAGTGTCCATCACCATCAACTACACACTCAGTGACATTGGTAAGACAGCAGCACGTTAGCAGCCGACCTGTCAAGTGTTTGATGAGGTGCTTGGCATCTTCTGCACAGAGAGCAGGCAGCAAACCTCCAGTTCTGAAAAGTGAAGCCAGTGAGGAAGTGCCTTAAACCTGCATTCTCTCTAATGTCCATCAGGGGGCGACTCTGGTTGCAAAAAGAAGTGTGGTTGTATAGAAGTCTATGAGAAAATGACTCTGCTTCTCTCTTGATTTATTACCTCAGTAAACATTGTAAACATGAGTTTATGGTCTCAATCTCTAGTTTCAAGTCTTCTTCAATACAGCATGATGTTCATTCAGTAAATGATAGTCCATTTAGAGTCAAACAGACCATAAAGCAGGGGATGCTTTAGGGGCGGGGCTACTTTGTGATTGACAGGTCACTACCACGGAGTTGTCCGGTCTGTGAGTTGTCCGTGTTTGTGTCTTGCAACCCCTTCACACTGTGTTTTCATTTTATGAAAGTTAATTGGAACATTTTGGGTCCCCCTTAAAATGTTTTGCTGAGCTGAATCCTCTTGGGTCACTTCTGGTTGCAAAAAAACAACATAGCGACGGCCGGAAACCAAGATGGCAACGGGCTAAAATGTTGAACTCGAGGCTTCAAAACTGTATTCCATGTGAAAGCAGCTTTTCAGTAAAATGCATCCTTCTTTGATTCTTTAATCTTGAAGTTTAGGATAGTTGATAATCTCCCTCCATCCTCCTTTCCACTAAGCGAAGATTGCCTCCAACGGCCAGTATTGATGCAGTGAAATCCTGTCTTTTTCATTGCTGCTTTTATAGCAAACAACAACAAAAATCAATATGACAGCTGACAGCTGACAGCTGACTTTTGTTTTTTTATTTTTCTTCCTTTCTATCCGAGCAGCGATGCCATCGACTCCTGTTCTTGGCCAACCGGGGTGCTCTTCCCGAGAGTGCATCATCGAAGTGGAGCAGTCTGTGCGGACTCAACACCTGAAGATCCAATACAGAGCGGCAGCGCGCACATGGACATCTTCTCCAGACTCAGTAAGAAGTCTTAGAGCAGACTTTAGGAACTTTCAATGAGATGTTGCAAGTGATACTGCAGAAGGTTACTTTGAACCCTTTGAAGACATACAGTCACCTCAGAGGTCTTCTGCTGATTCAAAGCCGAAGGAAGATATGAGTGTCAGGTTGATGAAAGGTGAACTGACAATGTTGCACAAAAACAAAGTCAACGAGGTGTTCTTCACAGTGTGATCGTAAATGGCACTTTACTCCGTTTTTGAAGAATGAATGACTGAGTTTAAATCAGTTAAAATAAGATGAAAAACATTTATTTCTGACAGGTTGTGCAGACTAGCTTGGTACAGGATCGGTCCGTCTCCTCTCTGGAGCCCTACACCTTGTACCATTTCAGAGCCAGATCCAAATTCAGCACCGGCCTGTGGAGTCAGTGGAGCGCAAACGTTTCCAGCTGGACTCAAGAGGAAGGTAAGCAAACCCTTGCAGCTCCTGAAGACTATTTCTGTACTTCCTGAGTGAAAGCACCGCTGATTCTGTCGACACACAAAGACCCGAATGGAGTATTTTATCTGTGTACTTATCCGTTTGTATCAGACAATGCAGTAATACTTCATTTCCTTTGGGTTGTTTGAGGCAGTTATCAGCTCTTCCAATGACTGTCTGCAGGATACCAAAAGCCACTGAAACACGCCTTATCGGGTTTTGTGTTGAGAGCGAAACCATCGATTAATGATAAGACGCATTAGGTGGCTGAGATTATACAAACATGTATTTTATTTATTGATAATAAACTCTAACCAGCTCAACTTTGAGCCAGAGTGAAGAAAAGTAAAGTGGTAAAGTAGACTGTGGTGCTTCATGGGAAAATATTGCTGCATATTTGTAATACTGATGGTGTGAAGATATGAAGCTGTCTTTACAGATACATGAGATATGAATGTGCAGCAGCGACAGATCATCAGCATTCCACGAACAGCCAGAAGTCACAGTAGAAATGTCTGAGGAGACATTTTTTGTAAAGGGTTTACGTGTTCTTTGTTTAAAGTTCAGGTCCATTCATATTTTTTTGTATTATTACATTTTTTTTGTCACTACCTATTTCACTACCTTTTGCAAACGACTGAGTGGGCGTTTCCATTTGATGGATCTGCCCTTTAAGCGCATATTAAACATGTTAATTACACCTCATCTTCCTCCTTTCCCTGGATGAATACGTAGTGTCGAAGCCACACATGGGATCTCCGATCTTCCAGGCAGCCGCTGGTTTCATCCAGGACCGTATGAAAGTCACCTCACCGAGATTGACAGATAATTGAGGAAGCTAATCAACCACAATAAACGCTTGTCTTGTCAGAGTAATAACATTATTTAATAGAGCTGTAATATTCTTTAAAAAGGTGATGATTCAACTCTGTTTATAGTTGAAATTAGTTTAACCTACTCATTGTTTGGGGTCCCACAGACATCACCGCTGTATGCGTAAAAATGATCAATTATTGTTTTCTATATATGTATGTATATATATACAGGTGAATAGGGTAAAAGTTTTAACGAATAGAAAATTTAAATAATGAAACTTCCCCAGGTGATTATTTATGTTAAGACAATGTTTCTTTTATTACAAGTTTCTAAAATAGTATGTTTGAATCTGTAAATAACAGCTGCTGAATATATTACATACTTGGGTCAAATATAATATAATATAATTATCCATCGAGGGCAAGCGCTATGTTTTTCTGAAACTAAATATGTGGGGCACCTCATGCCTGATCAAATGTCTGAGGACCCTATGTTATGTGCTGAAGCTAACATGTAGGCAAGAACATTCAGAGCGGCTGCCATCAGACCGTGATGTCTTGGCTCCTCAGGGGTTAAGGTGCCAGCAGTCCTTTTCGTAGCTTCCTCTTGGATTTGTGCTTTCGATCTGGCACCCGGTGGCTACATTTTTATAGTTTGATGCCCAGAAATGTCCTGAACACAACAAAAGAAAGAGAAAATACAGGCAGAGAGCAGGTTCTCTGCAGACACCACCGCACACAGTGATGATGTAGAGGGATTTTTTTATATAAGTCTAAACTTAGTTTTTTAGGAAGATCCTACTCATTGTGCCTTTAAAGTAACTTAATATGACAATATTAAGACAACAAGTTGCCCAATGCGATGAATGATATCTCAAGGTACCTTTAAGTACTTGTAATTAATCCACATTTTTTCATTTTTTAAAAATCCTATATGGATGTATACATTTACATGGAAGTGTTAAACTCAATGCTCACATAGGAAAATGTAACAGGCTGGATATTTGTCACTTTTAAAGGATTTTAAAGTCTATCAACTCACAATAACTTTCAAGAAATGTCAGTTATATAAACATGTCTTTCACTCATTCATTGAAAACAAACATTCTCATATATGATTTCAGTACTATTGTTATTATTTCAGTATTATTGTTATTATTTCACTGTCATTGTCCCATGATGCATGTTTTTTTTCAGCTCCTGCCACAGAGTTGGACGTGTGGTACGCTGCAGCCGCCTCTGACGTCATGAGAGTTTACTGGAAGGTACGTTTTAAATCTTGTCAAAAAGCTTTTTAACTGTTTAAATTTGGGCTGACGGTGAAATACGACACACATGACAACACTGCTGCACAGCTTGGTGTGTTCGAGGGTGTCGTCTCCATGTGTTCAACTCTCTCACTATGTGCCTGTGTGGGCGTGCGGCGTCGTCGCCATAGTAGCACTTTCTGATCTTCCCGCTTCACTACTTCTTAGTTAAAGGTCAACCATTGACCACTCTGAGGTGTGACATCCTCACGCACACACTCACACATCCCCACCCTCTACCACACAAACACACACACTCATATACTCATTTAATGTCACATAAAGACAGAGAGAGATAAGTGAAACCTGACGTCAGACACCACAGTTTCAGTTTACAAGAAAAGAGGAGATGAACAGAAATGATGTGTCTTGCTGTCTCAGTGTGTTGATTTTGAGCGTCCTGTAAAGAAAGCAGGCAAATCCAAGGAGCGTTAAAAAGCGCACGTTGTTTCTTTTCCTGTGACAAAAGCAAGTACACGGTGTCAAACTCAATAATTCACTTTGAAACATTTCTCTGACTGCAGGAGCCGAACATTTCCACGGCTAGAGGGAGAATCGTACAGTACAAAGTCGGAGTTGACAGCCAAAAGTCTGGATCGGTCTTCCTCGCTAACGTTAGTGCCGATGCCAGGAGTTATTCAGTCCAGTTCTGTGCCGACTGTGAAGTGAAAGTGTGGGCCTGCAACTCCAAAGGGCCGTCCCCTCCTGCCCGAATTACAACCCATCACACAAAAGGTAAAAAAATGAGTGAATGCTTTTGTGTGCAGCTTCATGAAGCCAGACCGTGCCTCTCTTTGTGGGTGAGCAGTCGTGTTAAGAGGTTACAGGTAGATATCAGATGCATTACTGCATTAATACCGAGGGTCAAGTTTATGTATCTAGTGCCAAATCACAATGGAAGTCATATCATGACACGCTTCAAATCGAGCAGGTTTCGACAGTCATTTACAGAAACCCGACATTCCAGCCCGTTCTCATTCCCAGGCCACTAAATACCAACACACAAGGCACCTTTTAGCGTCTGCAGGAGACGCACCGGGCATCCAAGGAACTACAATGTAAACCAATCTGTGTCACTATTAGACTCTCAGAGACAATGCGATGAGTGTGATGACGTGGTATAAAGCCCAAGACTGGTGGAGACTAGTGTTCAAGACCTTTTGTTGAGTTACAGTGAAGTGATGTTTGTGTTGTGATTTCCGTACATATAGTGCATTTTTTTACGTTTTACTTAGATCACGTAATTACTTTAAGCCCAACCTAACCATGTGGTTTGTGGCCTAACTCTAAACAAGGAGTTTTTCTTTGAATTCGCTGCCATAACCAGGCATGAGCTGGGCTACCCAGTGTGTTATAAAGTGACACCTAGCGGTCTGACAAGGCTTCAGGATGAGAGAGCGAGAGAGAGAGAGATGCACAGCAACAACAACAATAACAATACCAACTTTAACAATAACGGAAATATGACCAATAATAATAAGACATCTATGTGATTCTCTCTTGTAGTGAAGATTCAGCAGTTGCAGCCCCCTCAGGACGTGCAAGTAAATGCAGACAACCGCAGTGTCACCATCTCCTGGAGAAAGCATGACACTGCACCTCCACATGCCGTGTATGTGGTGGAGTGGTACCCAGAGGGCAACAAGCTGGAGGAGCTCAGATGGGTCAGACTGGGCAGGAATGACAACCATGCTGTTCTTACAGGTGGGACATGTGGAGTTACAGTTCAGTTCATCTTTATTGTCAGGCTCAAAGTTCATCACAAAAACGTACAACACAAATACAAAAGATACATTAAAGTTACTATGAGGAACTTGTATGTGGTTATGAAACAGTCTCCGTTTAATACTGATGCCTCTATATGACCTGCATCAGTAAACGAGACCATCAGCGAGAAGATCGGCTATTTCTTTAAGTTAGTCTTAATGCTCGTCACCGGTGCAAAACCAGATGAAACTCCTTCAGCTCAGACTCCGCCACCAACCAGCCCACAGCGGACAGACCCAGATCCAGTTTCACAAACAGGACCATCTGCACTACTAATCTGATTCTAAAGAAAGCATTGTATTCAAGCGCCACTTCGCTTGAATTACACTACGCTGCTGGAAGCCCAGGCTGTACTGCTGGGAGGGGAGGAACAGGAGAACCAGAACCAGGACTGAGCAGAGCAGACTGTCAGACCCTGCTGCAGGAAAATGAGAGGTTTTCCAAAAGGATGCTCAGGATATAGGGTCCTCAGACATTTCATCTGTCATGGAGTGCCCCACATATTTTGTTTCATAAATACTAGATGGATACAAATCTGGAAAGTTGGGGCCCTTATGCCCTTTTGTTCTACAAATGACATCATTCTTTCTAGCATCATATTGCACATCATATTTGACCCAAGTATGTGGAAACCCAGCACTGCTAGGAGAGAGAAAAGCCAGACCATCAGCATACATAAGATGGTTTATTAGGGTGTTACCAATCATACAGCCTCTTATTTGTTCACAATATGTTGAAGAGGGCTGGTGAAAGCAGCTTTTACCTCTTCCACACCTCTATCTTTCTTTATGCAGGTATTAAGCCATTTGAGTGCTACGAGGGAGCGGTGCATGTTTTCTACAATGAGAGCTCAGTGAGTTGGACCAGATTTACAGGTGTCGCCACTCTGACCTCAGGTAAGATCCAAGAAGAGCGTAAACAGTGTTAATTCGATAGTGTGTCTTTTATTAAACTCATACACACAACTGGCAGACAATGCAGTCTGTAACAGGAGTCTGTAAATTGTTTCAAATATTCCGTTGTCATCCGTCCTGTTGAGCAGTCCTTTTTGGCTTCTGCTTGTTGTTTGCAGCCCCAGCAGCTGGTCCGTCAGCCCAAGAGACGGTTGAGGGAAACCATGTGACAGTGACCTGGACGGAGATTCCCAGGGGTCAGCGTGGGGGTTGTGTCACCAAGTATACCATCTATTTAGAAATAGACAGCAAACAACAACAGCATTGTAAGAACCATTTATCTCTACTGTAACATCTTGTACTCTGAGGTGACGGTGCATGTTACATGAGTAACTTTCCTCTGCTGTGTGTGTATATAAATGTGTATTTAAGTCTCTATACCAGCATCAGAGAGGATGCACATCATCAAAGACCTGTCTCCAGCTGGCTACAGCCTGTGGATGACGGCTTCAACTGCTAAGGGAGAAGGCCGCGCGGGTCAAAAGGTCAATTTCTTCATCCAGCGTAAGCAGCTTTCCAAGTTTCTTTAAAATAATAGTTATGACGTTATAGTGAAACTTATTTGCTTTCATGTACGAGTTACACGAGAAGATCAATTCCACTCTTACGTCTGTACGGTAAATGTGAACCTGGCACCTGCTCCTGCCCAAGAAATAGTCCAGCACATAAACCCCGTAAAACCACAAGTTGCGGCTTTGCGGAGTAAAGTTTTTCTTGACTTTAGAAATAGTTTTCCTCAGCAAATAGATTTTGCTCATTAAAATAACAATTGTGTCCAAAAGAAATGGTCTTTATGGCTGTATCGTCGTTTTTTTCCTACTACCTCAACCGACTGTATCAGATGAGCCAAATATATGCTGCAATCTCACATCTCACTGTTTCTCTGTCACTATTGCAGAAAAGACCCAACTATCCCCCCTAATACTGTGTGCAGTCTTTGCCCCAATCGTGTTGTTGCTGATGTGTCTGTCCCACAGTTCAGCAGTAAAGCAGAGGTATGTGAGCAACACACAACAGTTGTTGTCAAAGAAAAGGTGCAGCAATAACAACAACAACAACAAAAATGTTGCTACTAAACTTCCCATGCCATATTGTTTTCCCCATTCCCCCTCAGGTTCTGGGTGTATTTTCAGTGCCTCATGCTCGATGTTGTGCCGGATCCTGCAAACAGCAAATGGGCAAAAGAGTGTATGCAGGAGAAGGTAATAATATAAAAGTGGATCAAATACAAACTACTGTAAATTGCAACTCATTGGTCTGAGTTTAAGCCTGTATCTCCCTTCAAAACAGGGTAAGATGAACCTCCATCTGCAGCTGAGTAACTCCAGTGTAACCGAGGAGGAAGAAGAGCCCATCCTGGTGAATGTAGAGGAGCTGCCCAAGCAGACCGGTGACGTCTGCGCACCCACAGACGTCTCCTCGCGGCTCCTACCTCAAACCAGCCTGAGCCCTGAGACGGAGCCGGCCACAGTGCTCTACCCGCTGACCAACTACATCAAGAGCTTCTCCCACGACTCAGACAGCTCCGACCACACGCAGACCTCTCTGGACACCAACACAACCGTCGACTACATCTCGTCGCACGGGCTGGGAAATATGGAGGAGGAGGAGGAGGAGGAGGAGGAAGAAGAGTTTGCAGAAATGCTGGGTTTCTTCCCCAGTCACAACATTTTCATAGAACCGATGGAGTTTGGAGGGAAGTTGACTCTGAATTCCGTCAAAATTGACTGCAGTGACTTCTTTCTTTCAGAACAGTAAGTGTGGACCTGAAACCTGAACTCTTTGGTGAGATGAGGTTTGACTGAAAGCCATTTTTAGAGGAAGAAGATGGCTAAACGAAACAGACTGGAAACAATGACTGGAGGTGGTGAATGTTTCCGTTTGTCTTTTTTTGCGTCATGAATCTTGTTGAGATTTCCATGAACTACCTCCTTGCTCACTGAAATCGAAATTGTAACAAAAAGCTCTCACTGAATTCTGCAGAGCTGTTGTACAGTAATCATTTTTAGAAATTACTTTTTGTTTTCATTTCATGCATTACCAGTTTTCTCTAGAGCAGCATTGGACACACTAAGACCACGACCATAACGAACACAGTGCAGGCTGCATGAAGGAGTGTATCAGATATTGTGATTGCTGCCTGCTTGTACTAATGTATACATCCATATCTAATCTCTATAAACAGATTCTGCATTACACATGCATAAGATATGAAGTTCCCTTTGCAGGCTCTGTTTGTAGTCTGTGTAGTGTTAACCAATCACATTCGAGCAGGCTTTGGTTGATTGCAGGTAAACAGTCGGTGTAGAGAGAAGGCAGAACGCATCGGCCAATCTGGGAACCCACCGGTTATTGTCCTGGAAAGTGAAGCCAATGTGGAAGTGCCTTAAACTTGCATTCTCTCTAATGACCATCAGGGGGCGACTCCTCTGGTTGTATAGAAGTCTATGAGAAAATGACTCTACTTCTCTCTTGAATTATTACCTCAGTAAACATTGTAAACATGAGTTTATGGTCTCAATCGCTAGTTCACAAAAAACAATGAAATGTGATAGTACGTCATAAAAAGGTAAGTGGAAAAAAAGTCATAAAAAAAGGTCAAAGTATTGCACGTCGAAAAAGTCATACTATGGTAAGTCATTAAAATGTAACATGCATGTCAAAAAAAAGTCATAAAAAGTTACTGTATAGTATGTCGAAAATTGTCATAGTATAGTAAGTCAATAAAATGCAATGAAAAAAGTCACAATATAGTATGTTAAAAAATGTGAAGAGGTCATGGTATGGTACGTTAAAAAAAGTAATGTATTTCAAAAAAAGTCATATAGCATGTCGATAAAAATCATAGTATAGTACATCGAAAAAAGTCATATTATAGCGTGTAAAAAAAGAACACTCATTAAGTCCACAGACCGTAGCCTTACTAGAATCAACAGTACCTTCATCTGAGTGGAAGAATGTAGTGCAGGGCAGCGACTAACTGGATCACAGTGGCTTACAACCAGGTCAGATATTGTGATGAAAAGGAGACTACGAATAATTACTGCGATTGTTTTTCCAGACGGTGGTTGAGAACGGGGTGTCAGCTACGTAGAGTGAATTTTGACAGAGAACTCATAAAAGTCATAGTATAGCATGTTGAAAAAAGTCATAGTATATTATGTTTGAAAAAAGTTATAGTATAGCATGTCGACAAAAATTATAAAAAAGTCAAAGTCCTGGTATAGAATGTCGAAAAAAAGTCAGCCTAGTTTGTATAAAAAAGTCGTAGTGTGTCAACAAATGTCATAAGTCGATGAAATACAATGAAAAAAGTCATAGTATGTTAAAATTAATTTTTTCTTTTTACATACTTTACTGACTGGGCCGGTCATAAAATAATTTACTCATCGTATGAACATGACCTCCATCATTTCTACGTTATTGACTTATTGTAAGATGTATGGACATAACCTCGATCCTTTTAGCAGACCTCGATGTCACCCGCTGTGTTAACATCGTTCACATTTAAGCCAACACAATTAACAGCAGGGTTCCTTCCCTACCACTATGAGATGTTGCATTGTGTTTTCTGTTAATAAGCCCATTTTAATGGGTTTTTTCTTGTTGAATTTCTGGGAATATTTAAAGATGTTTTTTCATATTCCAATGTCTGGATATTCTTACGAATCAAAAGTTCCTTTTTCTATGAAAATGTGTACTTTCATCATATTAAAATTAGAGACATTAAATAGTCATAAAATTACATCTATCACACTTATTTCTGGCATAATATCCCATCTACAAAAGAGAACTTAATTTTAATCTTTGATACATTTTGAGACCATCGGTCATCTCGACCCTGAAGTGGCACGAGACCATTTCACATATCTGCTCTGCAGGTGTGTCGAGTTAAGTTTTCTGTTTGGAGCCTCAGTTTTAGGCCGTTAAATAAACAGTCCGTGTATGCATGTAGATGTGTAAGCTAAAGCAAACACTGTAAATTGATTTTTCCTGTGTGCAGGCAGGATTAAAAACTGACAATGCAAAAGATTTATCGACCACCTTTATTTTACCGACAGAGGTCTCTAATAGCAGGGCTAGAATTCACACATTTGTAGAGCACGTCAGTTGTTCCACGCAATGAACGACTGTATTTCTTTCAGAGCAATTATGCAGTGGTGCCACTGTGGAAGCTACAGGGCAAGTCAACAGTGGAGGAAAAATATCAACACAGAACAGACTGCAAACAACACAAACTGAAGCTGGGCTGACTTTAAATCTGTGGAAGAAGTGGAGTGTGTAAACAGTCGGAGAAGGTCTGAGGGCTTCCAGAAGACTTCAGCCACGTCTCAACCGTGTAAAGACACTTCCTCTCCGTATCACTCTTAAACTAGAGTAAAAGCAAAGGCGTGAATTGACTTGCAAATGGCAATCAAAGAGGAAATGGGCGGGGAGGAAGGGATATCAGATGGCGAATAGCACCCCGAATACATGAGAAATCAGAACAAATGGAATAACTTTCTGCTTCAAATGAACCCCCTTGACAAATTTCTCCGGATCAATGCAAATTTAGGTGAGTAATCCCCGATGTGGTCCTCCAAAAATGACCTAATGTTCCTCCTATAGTACATTTTCAGTACAAAAGAACCATAATACAGATTTAGGCGCCATTTCATCAATGAATTCGAATACAGGCAGCAACGCTTGATCAAAGGGGATCAAGGTGTGTCCTATTTGCACCATGTGAAATACAGTCTCTGCAGGAATTTATGAAAATAGTTAAGATTTACAGGCCGAAGATCATAGAAGAATAGACCTGTATAAAATATAAAACAATACCCCAGTGCGAAAGAAAAAAAACAACTCCATAAATCTTAATGAGTGAAGCTGTAACTTCATCAGAGACACCTGGTGTGGCAGAGCTTTTGAGCTCGGGTTGGAGCTCCACCGTGCCGATTTCAAAGCGAGCAAGCAATAACTCAAACCGAGCTAAAGACACCCTTCTTATGCTTACATCTCGAAATGCATATTTTCAAGCAGCAATTACAAAAAATTATCAATGGACAATGCATAACCTCTGAAAAAAATACTGTATGAAAACATCCCTGCTACTTTGTTTCTAAGTACAAAACCTCTACCAATAAGTTGCTCCAGAGTAGCAAGAAGTCCTTTTCTTTTTTTGTTTTTTTTTTGTTAATTTCTGTTTTTTTTTTTCCATCTTCGTTTTGTTTTTATTGGGTAAAACTCAGTCCTCACTTTGAGTGCCATAGTTAAATGACAGTCTTCTCCATCATTTCACTTTGCTGAAGGATCCAGGAACATGCAAGCCTCGTAGTGGAGGTGCTCAGGAGGCTCCTGTAGGCCTGAGGAACAGCAGCCGGGGCCTAAGCCAGGGCTGGGAAGGCCTCTGGGTCGTCCACGTTGGGCACAGACGCAGACGACTGAGGAAAAGCAAACAATAAGTAGGAGTTAGAAAATTCAAACGTTTATAGATGCGTCTCTAAAGTATGGAATAAAGGAAAGGAAATGACAGGGAGTGGGCTTTATACCTGGGTACTAATGACACAACTTCATAGATTCCAGTAAGATTATTTACCTTGTCGGGTCTTGGTGCGCGGACCGGCCTAGCGGCTTCGCCGGGTGGTCCGGCGCCGGGTGGTCCACCACCGCTACCACCGCGGCCGCGACCTCCGCGGCCACCACGTGGTCCACCGCCGCGTCCACGGCCTGGACGGCCCAGGTCTCCGAAATTGATCTCCAGCTGGGACGTGATGTCATTGGCTGGCTTCCGGAAGTGGTGCTCATCTTCAAGCTGAAATGGAAAACAGGAGATATTTTGTAAGTTTAAATCTTTGGTTTATTTTGTTCACATCTATGATTTGAGTTTGGTTGAGATTGTTTACCTTGGGTTCCTCAACCTCAGATTCAATCACTTCTTCTTTCTTCTCCTGCTTTGGAAAATGCAAAACAATACAAACATTAATATATGTACCGTCAGACAGTGATGCTTGTGTTAATGGTGGTTGGTTGGTTTGGGGGGGGGGGGGGGTATTTCTACATTTGTCTCATTTGAGCCGACGCCAAGAACCTGCAAAAATATTAGTACGGTCGATAAAGTCTATCAGTCACCGATCTGGAATGTGAAATACGGATGTATTCAGAATGAGCAGACATGGCTTTAACTCACCTCTGCCTTGGACTTGTGCAGCACAAATCCTTTGTTCCAATTAGCTCCCTCGTTGGCCTTACGGATGTTGAACTCCACTTTGGCCCGCTCCTTGTCCTGCACGGCCTTCCATTCATCCAGAGTCATCTCCTTGGGGCCTTCTTCTTTCACTTCCTCAACCTCATTCTCCCTTCAACACACACACAAACGGTGTCACATCGTTAAAGTTTCATATAAAACCAGGTTGTTGGCTGGTGGTCTTTGCCTTCGAACACCAGGAACCAACTCTAAGCTGTGAATCCTTAATCAATTACAGCAAAACCAAGATGTCTTCACAGTTCTCTCCCATTTGTTAGGAAAATAACTTACTTGTTCTCAGAGTCGGCGGGTGGATGCTCCTCTCCCTCAGGGTTCTCTTCAGTGACGTTCGATTGGTCAAGCTCGCTAGGAGGTCAAAAAATAAAAAAATAAAAAGAAAGTTTATATGGCATGGTATCGAGAACCGTTTTTTTTTTTTTTAAACTGTTTACCATGCCGACGTTAGGACTGTGTTGCTGTCTACATGCAATGCAAGCCACTTAATATTCATCTTCAACTAAAAAAGGATGAGGGAGAAGCATTGTAATCTATGATAAGAGTTTACAGGAGCATAAATATTAGCTCAAGCTAATGCAGTCTAATGTAACAGACAGCAATGCAATAAGTTCTACCTCTATGAAGGTTGACTGTCGGGTTTTTCTTGTTGGCTGTAGTATGTGGTGCTGTTGAATTGTACTGCATTAAACTCGGGTATTTCCTATATTTAGTCCACATTTATATCAATGACCGGCGGTCCTGCTCAGCTCAAGTACAAAGTGTGGACCGGTAGCTGGGGAGATAACAAATGTCCTCATGGCAATGCCGAAATAAACTGGCAACTGAGTATTTTTTTAAACTTTTTTTTGGGTATTTAAATAAATGATTCTGAACCACGACAGGATGTGGAATAGATGAGTAAAATCAGACTTGCAAATAAATCTGAACACCCGAGTGTCTCCAAACGAGCCGACTATTAAACACTATTCTCTAAAAAAAAAAAAGACATCATAAAGGGAAAAATCGATCTAATGCAGAAGTGTTCTGCAACTCCCAAAACCTCCCATAATTTCTGTGATGTTACATCTATAATAGGAACTTACTTTATATCATCCTTCACGGTGCCCCAGTTGTGAGATCCACTTCCACCGCGCTTCTCCTCACCTTTCATGCTACTGAAAGAACATTAGCTTTAGCCGTGGGCCATGACAAATGCACCGTATGAAAACACACACCAACGACTTCCACGGACCTTGGTGTACATCAACAATATTTATCTATATGAGAACTGAAAAATAACTTACGATCGGTCACTGCCACTGTGTCTGTCAAATTCACGTTTTCCTCTGGAGTCAAAGCCATCGTTGCGACCCATGCCACGGCCTCTGCCAGTCCCAGTACCAGCACCACGGCCGCCTCTGCCACCGCCACCGCCACGTCCTCTCATCGGCCGATCACCAATGGGTCTAGAGAGAGCGAGAGAGAGAAAAAGAGAGAGAGACACTTAACATGATCATTGCAGCACAGGTTTCTCTGCCTTAGAAGAAAGCTTAAATCTAGGGTAGGCCATCTACATGTTTTTTTTTTCTCCTTTGAGTGACTAAGTGAACAGCAAGATTAGCTAAATGTGTGACAATGTTTACAGAAAACCAGTACATTCATGAATTGTGATATGATTCGATTTTCAAGTCTACAGAAAAAGAGTGATTGTGGTTTTAAGTTATTCTCGGTTTACTGATGTTTGAAGTCGGTCTAAATCTATATTTGGACATTTTACCCTCATTGTAGTTGTAGCAATTTAACGCAAGTAAACTCATGAGATAAAGAGCTACAAGTGCCAATAGCAGTTTGGGCAAAACTCTAACATTCTAAGTCTTATCATACTAAACAACGCCTATAATAGTTGCTGACCCCACCCCCGAGTGAGTACTGCTTTTGCCTCACGTGGAGTTATAAAACACAAAAGGTATAACTGTTGTGGATTTATTCTCCTCATTTTCTTATATGGTTGCTGTTCAATTAAAATATCTGATGATTGGAATATGAACTCACTTTTCCACTGAGAATTCGCCTCCCTCTGGCTTCTCGCCGGCATCACCACCAGCAGGCCTCTCGAAGCGACGCGGGGGCCGCCTGTCCGCAGGCCGCCGGTCTGTGGGGGGGCGCCCCTCTCCCTGGCCCTGGCCCTGGCCGCCCTGGGGTCTGAAGCCCTCGCCCTGGGGTCTGAAGCCCTCGCCCTCCGGCTTGCGGCCCATTCTCCTCATGCCGGGACCTAGGATTGACCACAACAGGAGGATTAGAGGACCAATAGCACCGATAGATTAGGACCCGCTGCGGAGCCCCGGGCAAGAGAAAGAAGCGGAAGTGATTGTTCTGTTCAAATGGAGCAAATAATTCCAATTAATGTGCAGCATTAAATAAGTACGGCAGTTGGTAGGATCCATTTACCAAATACTCTTCAGTCTGCAATGTAATCCAATTTTTAAAGGTTAACAATTAAGTGCACAAAACAGACAAAACATCCAGAAGCGAGTAATCTTACATTATGAAAAGGGATCAAGAGTTTGCAGCATGATCACTTATTACTTCACAGTCTGTAAAACGATCACTTCAATCGCACGTTAACTGTGGATGGAATTAACGCCGGCATCGTATGTAACCCTCCATGACACATGGTTGGTTGCCTGCTGGCCCAGTGTGACAGAACAAGTCCCACCCATGGCCTAAACCACCAGCTACCAAAATAGACACCCTTACACCACCACGCAGGGGCAGCTGGGTGCACCATAGTCCACGCACCTGTCTCATCTTCTCTCAGATACGAGTCCACTTGGCAAGATTGCATGAATGAAAATGGCCAGCTGACTTCCTGTATGCAGGAGCCCGGATGCTTCAACTCTGCAAGCAACTTCTTAAATCAACAGGCTACACACGCAAGAAAGAATAAAAGATAATCTACATAGATGATACCATCTCGGTATAGCAGAAACAGGAAATTGAATTATCTGAGGCAGGTCGATCACACACACTGAGCATGTTTTGCGCGCCGATGGGAAGTGGCTGTACTTTAACACGCCCCACACTACCAACCACGAGGTGCATCACCATGAGAGCGGTGCTGCTCCCAATGTCTGACCCATCCACCTGCAAAAACCACCACGAAAAAGAAGTTTCGCAATGCTTTGACAAGTTGCATTTTCACGTGGATGATATTTACTTTATATTTGAATACATTATATATTTTTTAAAAAGGCCAGAATTAAATACATATATTCGGCTAATTATGGGTAAAAGAAGCCACACGTGTGCTTATTGAAAGTAACTACTTTATAGGAACAACATCTAAACTCCTCGAGGCCACTTTCTCCAGGCTTTAGGGTTCTGCCTGTTCAACAAGGCCGGTGGGGGTGGCGGTGGTGGGGGGAGAAAGCGAGCCAAAACAAGTTGGCTTGCAAACCGTTTATCCCCAAATTATTTGAGCCCCACACATGCCATTGCTTAACACGTGTGTGTGGATGTCATCGTTCCAGCAATTGACAGCCAACTGGAGCACAATAAGCGGCCACGAGGACCTCATGTCGCGAGGAGCTTATGAACCTGCTAGCTAGCGAGCAACCGAGCCTGTTAGCCTAAAATATTTTACCTGCAGCTTCGCTGAAGAAGACCCCTGACAGAGAAAAACGCAGAAATATATCTTACCATCTTTCTTAAGTGGGACGGGCGCCTGGGTCTCCTCCTTCTTGTCGGTCAGCGGGACCTTTCTGTCTTTTTGGGACTCCTTTTTCGGCTGCTTGGCAGCCTGGGCTGCGGTCTTGGCGGCACCAGGGGCAGGGGCTTCCTTCTTCTTCACTTCGGCTTGCTTCAGCAGCTCGAATGGATCCGATTCGTCGTCAAATAACTGGTCGAACCGATTGGTTATGGCACAGCCAAAACCTTCTTGCATTTGTCCGGGCATGATGGCGCCCCTTCAGCAGGATTTTCCTCCGATTCTACGAGGCTTGGTGCGAACACTTCGCTAGATGAAGCCACAAGATGGCTGGGAAAAAGGACCTTCTTCTCTTCCGGCGCGATAGACATCCGGGGCCTCGGCCGTGGGCGCGGGTGGGGCGTGTAGTTTTTGTCGGACACGTGATGCCATAAACTTGGCTGCGGAATAGACCAATGAGAAACTACAATACCCACAATGCCAGTCTCTCCAGTGTTGCTAGCTTTCTGCAAAGACAAGCATGGGTGCCTGCCGTCACATCACACACTCTTGTTTTGATTACTGAGGAGAAAAACAAAACTCTTTAGTCCTTAAAACTATCGGCTGCAAATGTTTGTCAGTTTTAAACTTAAGTTATTAACTGCTCTGTCGCCCCCGTTTTATACGCATATAGTAACTTTACAAACCTTTAAGGGAGAGACCATGTGCAGCTGTTTGTTGCTAATATGTTTCAGTTAAATAAGCTGTGGTTATGAGTAAAGGTCAGTGTATAGTTTAATAACTGACAAAATCTTCAGTAAAGATCATCAAAGAGTGGAAAAGGTGACACTGACACAATGTCCTGCCATTTAAATCTGTCTTAGAACAAGTATTCACACCATTCTGAACCCCTGGCCCAAGTGTAAACAATATTTCACACTTAAATTTAGATATTTAGCACCGCTCCTTCAGGTCAATAAAACCCGATCCAGAGCAAATGTGCTTTCTGTGCAGGCAACAGCGAAAACACTAGAGCGCAATAGTTTGGTGGGAAGACATCTGTCGTTTTTCAGCCACAATAATCCTCCAGGGAAAGATCAGTTAACAACAAAGCAGCATTACAAGTTGCATTTTAGTTCTGGATACACACACACACTCATGTTTAAGGTATGATCTTCACCAGGTTTAAAGTTATGTTCTTATATAGCCTATTCAAATTTATTGAACATTTTCACACCATATTTTCTAACAAACAAACAATACAGCAAAGATAAAACCATAATATACTTGTTTAAAATACCTAATCACAGGTCAGCTTTATAATTATACAAAATATCCTTTGTTAACTGAAGGAGTCTGCAAGGAAGCTCGTTCCATTCTTTTAAAACACAAAGTCTGAGGACATTTCTTTATTTTTTCTTTTCAGAGGAACACATTATAAAGAGTTCCCTCCTAAATCATACCAGTTATATCAAAAGTGAACGTGATATCATATATTCTGTTTCACCCTCATGTTTCTGTCAATGCATACATCTTTCTATTTGTCTTCTGGCAATATACATATGGAAATCTCCCAAAAACAAAAATGTGAGGAAATCTTCAATTTAAGTTGACATCCGGGGCCTCGGCCGATTAAATTTCAGTGTAATGGGGGTATCCTTCAGGGCTGAATGTGTGATATCCACATTAAATGATTCAGGCAGGTCTCATCCACCATTCAAAATGAGAAGTAACTTTTCGTTAGATATCACACGAACCATTTTATGAGGATACGTTGAATGATTGCGTAAAAACGTCATCTTGCACTCATGGTGCTATACGGGGAAAACCCAACACATGGGACTTTTTCAGTCCGGTCTGAAACAGCATTGCATTTGCTGGTTGGTGAAAGTTTGAGGTTTGGGTCTTCTAGTAGAGTGGACGTTATCAACATTATCATGAACAGGAAAAGCAACATCACCACATAGACTTCCTTTGTCAGCGAGGATGAAACATTGTGGCAGAAGACATATTTGACAAAACCCTCAAAAACGACAACTGAAAAGGCTCAAGAGTTGCAGACTACAATGTAAAAAAGTGCTTAATCAAAACTTAAAACATACTGATTTATTCAAATGAACACGTGTTTATGCCTCATGCGCCTCTGATCAATTAGTATTTTACATTCGAGGTTACACATAATTTTAACTCAGTATTTAATAGCTGTCGGTGTACTGTTTATAAAATAAACCCCTAGGAATACTAAAAGGCCTCAGTATTTATATGTTCAAAGGTATAATTACTTTTCAAAGACTTTAATGTTAATATTCTCATATATCAGAGTGTATCATTGTGTGTCCAATGGTCCATTCATCATTCATGTATTAAAGTTTTGTTGTATCTTAGAATGTCATTGCCTATATATGTTTTAAGGCTATAGTTTTTGACTCACTCGTTAAAAGTTGTCTAAACGTGAAGCCCAACATCAAACACAAGCTTGAAAGCCTTATTGTTGGTATTTTTGGAGTTGTGGGTGCTGTAGTTTTTTACCTAATAAGGAAAGTCAAACCTTGCCAGCTGATGGGCTTGTTATGGAAAAAATGACTTCTGAGTGATTGCAGGGAGACAAATGGACATTTGCACTTAAAGGTGCAGTCTGCAGGATTTGGCGGCATCTAGTGGTGAGTTTGCAACCAACTGAAATGTCTCCTGTGTGTCAAGTGTATAAAGGAGAGAATGACAAGAGGCCTATATTACAATATTAAAACAATAACGTCCTCATCTAGAGCCAGTGTTTGGTTTGTCCTTTCTGGGTGACTGTAGATAGACATACTTATTAATATACCATTCAATTTCTGCCAATAGATCCCCCTAAATGCTAAACACTGTACCTTTAAGGTCTGTTACAAAGACCATACAAAAGCCAAACAATAGATGTTATTTTAACGGCTTGTTTTTTTATATGGAGAACAAAACGCTGCACAACGGTTCAACCAGACTGACAATATGAGCAGAAAGAGACTTCGAGTAAATGGAGTAAAGTGTATGTTTATATACACATATACTGTATATCCTTAAACATAGACAAATTAAGCTTTCCTTATATGTATATGTATAATTATAGTTTTTGTTCAATGTTATTTTTGTTAATAACATAAACCTGAGTTTATTGCTCCTACAGTTTGACTTTTGCTGTCATAATGCTCATTTTAGTATAATTTTAGTTTAAAGAGAGGTGGCAACAAAAGCAGCCACATCTTTTCTATTTGTCTCTATATCTCACGTTACTAAACTGGAAGATGTTGAAGTGGTCCAACCCACTGGATGACGCCAGTCGGACCGTCAGTCCCTCCTGAACGCACTTTGGCAACTCGACTGATTCTAATTCCTGCATGTGATCGGAGAGATGACATCTCCAGTCGCCAAAGCCATGATAGAGTCCTACGCGCTCATGGCCATGGTCATGGGCTCGTTTTTCGTCTACTTCTGCGGGATGGTGTGGGCTTTCTGCAACCCGAAGCTGAGCGGAGAGGAGGAGGAAGAGGAGGAGTGCGGAACAGGGAAGACAACAGCGGGACGCGGAGACGGCTACTGGGTTCGCGCGGCCCCGAACCCGCCAGAGCGGAATTTCAGGTGCGCTTGCAACGTTGCGCATCTGCCGGCGCCGCCGTACACCGCAGCTGAGGGGCTCACGCAGACCACGTATGTAAACTTTTGGGACGACACGGACAGTCTGCTGGCAGACTGCACTACGTTTTACCGCGAGGATCGGGGGATTAGCAACCAAATCGAACAAAGTCCTGAAAAGTTGGTGACCTAGCCTTCACATCCATGTGTGCATATCTGTGTGGCTCCCCTCATGTAATATCATTCTTCACGGAGTGATGGACTAAAAAGAAGAGGATGATACTCACTTTTATTTACCCAAACTCTAACAACATACACAACTCTAGTTGTTTTGTCCTATAACAGACATTTTACATCATGCTTATATGCATATAGTCACTGTAACTTGTTTATTTGTGCTGTGAATTCATGCTGCCATGTTTTGTGAGGTCTGAAACAAATGTATGCCAGACAGGAATGAAATACTCTCAAACCCCAGAACTGTGTGACACGCATCACGTCCTGCAGGAATACTGTGATTCTTTCTGTCTTTCCTTCAGTTTCTTTCTCACGTCACGTTCCAGTTGCAGCAATTTCTCATACAAAGCATCCGATGTTTCCACATCGATATCCATCTGCAAAAAAAGCGGAACAAAAGACACAAAACTCATTACGTGAATTATTTTATTTCATAATTTAAATTATTTAGCATTTGTCATACCTTTCGTGGACGTGTGTAGCTGTTTCCTAGACCAGATGTTAGGCTGTGGTACTTGGCTTGAGGGTCCAGTGATTCAGGCTTTTGCTTAAATAGCCAGAGCTGCAAGAAAGAGCAGCATTCATGAATTCATTTTGACTAAACTGTGGAAGAAAATGTGTTCTTTTTTGTTTTACCTACCAGGGCTTCAGCTCCGTTATAAGGGGTCAGGGTGAAAGTATTGGTGAACATTCTTATCTGAGATCACGAAAGAGATGCATTCAGACACGAGTCATTTCAGTTGTGTGTGTGTGTATCCATTTAAAAACATCAGAGTTGCACTCACAAGCCAAAAGACAGGCATAAGCAGAGTCCAGAGGACGGCTGGGAAGGAGGGCAGGATCCCGTAGGTCAGATTGGTCATCACAAAACCAGGACAAGTGACGGACGAGTACAAACCCTGCAGAGCAGGAATCACAGGTATCAACATCATGGGAGATTAAAGACATGGGTGATACGGAGCATGTGAGGTGTGTGTGCATGTGTGTGTGTGTGTGTGAGGGCCGACCTGTTTGTTGTAGTGTGTGTTGAGCGCCAGGCTGAGCAGGTCGGAGGCGTATTTGGAGGAGCTGTAAGGTTGGGTGCCTCCCCGGTGCTGCATGTCTTCGAGGTTGAAAGCTGAGCGGTGAGCGTTGCTGGAGGACGTCCAGATCAGCTGCGACGTCTGGCCCGCGTGGCACAGGACCGGTTCCAGCTCCCTGATCTGGGCGAACACAGGAGAATGACACAGCATGACGATACTCGTTTAAAAAATCAAAACATCTTAACAACAGTTCTACACAATTGCCGATTTGAATTAAGATATTTAAACTATATTTGTGTGAGAAATAGATGACTTTACTAATTTTATCCACTCACAAATGCACTTTTTTTATACATCTTAATCCAATCATTATCCATGAACTTTGCAATGTATGAATGTCCTGTTGCATTGCTTTTGTGTTTTAACCAGGTCACTCTTGAGAATGAGACCCTGTGTCTCAATCAGATTACCATGTATAAATAAAGGTTGAATATATATATATTTTTTAAAACTAACTGGTCAAGATATACTGTAGATTTCAAGCATCTCTTTCCACATAAAGTCCTTTTAGATTCTTTAAACTAATCAGCAATGTTAAATTCCTGCCAACCTTTGTTGACCGTTTCAAAAGGATATTACCAAAAATAGTATGTGTCACTTCAGCTGTCTGAGGAGTAGAAGTGTTTTGAGAAGGTTTCTCTGTGATGGCAACTTAATACATGTCAGGATTCATCTGCAAAAGCACAGTCGGCAGAATGCTGTCCGCAGTGACCTTATGCCTCAAACAGTACTGTTAATTTTTAATGAGCAGCGTTGCTCAATGACAGATCGATCCAGTATCATTATATTTATTCCATCAAGGATAAGCAGCTGAGTAGAACTACTGTCCCTGCAGGGACACCGAAGGAGACACGGTTTTGTATTAGATTCTATGTGTGGATAAATACCATACTATATAATTCAGTAGCCAAAATAGTAGTTACTCACAAGTAGGAAGTGACCGAAGAGGTTGGTCGCGAAAACTTCTTGGAGGTCATCGGGGGTGACGCAGTCCTTCTGCGTGAGAATCCCCTCACCGGTGGCAAACATGGCGACGATGCGACTGTAATGAAGATATTATAGAAGCCTGAGCCCTCGAGAGGCAGAATGAGGAATAGATAGAATGCTGTATACAGGCTGGACATGTTAAAGAATAAAAAGCCACCGATGCAATAGCTGCAAAATCAACAAAGTACCTGGAGAAGAGGCACTTGAAAAAGGCTTTTACATCAAACTGTGGGTTTGGCATGATGCCTGCGTTCAGGTAGAGGTAGTCTAGACGGTTGTACCTGCAAAAGTCAATCACAAACACATTTATTCACATAAAGAACATAACCTGGCCTGTGTTGATGCCTATTTGATGTGAATGTGCATTTGAGTGCCACGCTGCCGCGAGTCCATCCTCCCACCTGAGTTTGACCTCCTGTGCAGAGGCGATGACGGAGGAGATGCTGCTGGTGTCCACCTGCAGCAGGTCCACCTGGGCGCCGGGGTGAGAGACGAGGAGGGCCGATCGGGCGGCCTGAGCCCGCTGCATGTTCCTGCAGGCCAGACACAGCTGGAGGCCCTCCGTGTCCTGAGAGAGGAGACGCTCACACAGCACCAGGCCAATGCCACTGCAGGGAGACAACGATGTAAGGAAATACCAGTTACTACGCCATCTACAGAGTTTCCTTTGATTACGTTGTAGACCAAAAATAATATCACATAAGTATGTGACAAAAAGATACTAAAAAGATTTTAAAAAGTCACATAAATAAATAAAATTGGAGAAATACAATATGCACGCCTTGAATAATTAACCAGTAGTCCACTACTGGTTAATTATTCAAGGCGTGCATAGAAGTGTTCAGATCATGTACTTCAGTAAAACTAATAATACTAAAGTATAGAAATACTCTGTAACAGGTCCTAAGTAAAAGTAGAAACGTATTAGCATCAAAGTATACTTCAAGCACCAAAAGTAAAAGTAGTCATTATGCAGAATGGTTCATTTCAGAATCATATATATTACTGAATTACAATTATTGTTGCACTTGCATTAATGTGTTCACTTTAATTTTGCAGCAGGTAAATTACTTTATATACTGCCGGGTAGTTAAATCTGTTATAGTACATCCTTTATTAGATGTGTTGTATTTTGTTTTAATAATCTGCATTTGCAAAGTACGTTCATCATATAAATGCAGTAAAAAAAAAGTACAATATTTACCTCTGAGAAGTGTAAAGTAGCAGACAAGGGAGATACTCAAGTACCTCAAAATTGTCCAGTACTTGATGTACTCGCAGTGGTTACATTCCACCACTGTAGTCAACCAACAGATACAAATGACTAAAAAGAGACCTTGAGGAAATGTCTCTTATGTTGTGAATTCATTCACCTTTACATGCCAGACTTGAGTTTTATAATAAAAACGATAAATGTCGCCATTACCTATTTGCTCCCGTCACCAAAACCACCTTATTCATAGTTTCTGGTCCGAACTGCAAACAAAACTGCACAGAAAACACACTACATTTAGCCTACTCCCAAATGCAACAAGTTCTAAGTCCGCCTCATGCAGCATTTCCTGTGGAGTTATATTCCAAACCCCGCCCCCGCGTTGTGATTGGACACTGCTGCCGCTCTCAGCCAATGAGAGCCGGATACCAGTCGGCTCAGCTCGAGGCACCGCCCACATAGTATGAGCTGCTAGGAACTCATGAATAAAGGAAGAGCACTCAGAGAGGGAGAATTCCCTGTTTACATTTTATTTATATTTCGTCCATCAATGTACAACATTTGTTTACAACGTATATAAAACCATTCTCACCGAAAACAAACAAACGTTTGAGTACAAAAATGTAGTAAAACTAATCGTGAAATCAACTCATTTAAAACACGGATTGTAATGAAAAGATTTCCTTATCCGATGGGAATAACCACACTCTGCATAAACACCCAAAATGTGTCTCCAAAATTAATATTTAACTTACTTGTACTAATCGTTTGCCTAGATTGCGAAACACATAAAGATAAGGGTGAACTTCCACATACACGTTGAAAATACCATGCATAAGGGCAGACATGAGTGTCTTTTATGAACAAGGCCTCTGATAAGAGGCTAGAGCCTGTAAATACAGCGGAAGTGGCAGGAAAACAGTGGTATGCAGTATGAAGTTCAAGCTATGAAAGAGTTACACACAGACATATGCCAGAGAAGAAGAGGAGAGAATCCAGCACACACCAATAAAATAAAATAGATAAGTCATTAGCTGTGTTAGCTTTCGTCAGCTAATATAAACCTATCTGAAGCAGTCATTCTGTTCCAATCAAACACATGAATTAGGCTCCTCTACATTCCTGATTTCAAAGGAAATACACTTTCTTTGCCAACCGAGACGAACTGTAATCATATATGCATTAACTTGTTCGACACCAACATCTTCCCAATGATGCTGACTGTAAACACATACCCTTTAACCAACATGAACAAAAACACAGCCTGCTTTCCCGATAAGCATCTTGCAACATCTGATCAATTATCAAAGAATGATATTTCATTTTGGGATCAACGCGAGACGATAACACTTTTGCAGTGGCAAACAAACAACAAACAAACAAACAAACCTTTGGAAGCAGTTTGTTTGGTGTTTAGATCCCAAATGTGAGCGGTGAAGTTAGTGAATCACATCAAATAAGATACTCCAAAAACTTAAAGAGAATATTAATCCACAAATATATCAACAAAACATAAACAGAAAAAACACATAATGAACATATAAATATTAATACAAAATATTGCTATTTGACATTTAGACGTATCTATTGAAAATACACTCATATACACTTTGTGTTCAAATCACAGAAGGAAAACTGTGGGAGATGAGAAAGACTCAGAAACACTTTATATGTCTATAATGCATTATAAACATACTTATAATGCATTATTGTCTGCTTATTGTACTATATATTTATAATTATAAGCGCTCATACATATTCATAATGCTTTAAAACAATAATCATAACAATTATACAGCATTGTATATTTTCTTTCAGTAAAGTAAATAATAATTGTGTTGTTCTTGCAGATTTAATAATGTTTTCCCTTTACTTAAAGGAATCAACGACCGCTTAAAATATATTAGAATCACATTATAATGCGTTATGAAAAGATAATAATTTATTACAATATCAAGATATAATACATTATGATCCTTGAAAAAAAAAAAATCAGTGAGTGACCACCAAATTACCTTACAAGTCATTATATAATGCTTTATAATGTGTTATAATTATTGTTATAAAGCATGCATATGTATGAGTGTTATCACTATAACTCCACAGTGCTATAAACAGATTATAACACAGTATACATATGTTTATAATGCACTACAGACATGGTCGTCATAGAAAGTGTTACCAATATTTCCTTGTCACTCTAAATGTGTGGAGTTTGTCTGAGATGAAAATACTTGAAATAAAAAGAAATGTAACAGTAACGGTCGGCTGCACGTTTCCTCTTCTACATTCAAGCAGTCTTCCAAAAGGAAACACAAGCAAGCTCTTCAGCGATGCATATCAAACATTGTAACATGGGGAATTTGAACTCATATGAAAAAAAAACGAAAAAGTGAAATCAAAATACGTTTTTAAAAGTGCCGAATGTCACTTGCTACATTTATTTTTTGAACACGTGTCCCGACCAAACCTTAATCACGTCTCCATTAGAATAGATTTGTTTTCTAATAATACCTGTATGTCTATAAAACCTCTGATTGAGCCGATTGAGCTCAAACTGACACCAAAAGTCTTTGGTATAGTCCATCTTTGCAGAGTGTAAGTCCATGAATCAGTGTCTCCAAAATTGTAGCTCGGAGCCCACAGGTGGCTCTCATCCTGTTTTTTTCTCTCCTGAAACAAGATAGCTTAAACCTGGATCGGGTCTGAATCATGGTCTACCCTTGTCTTTGCACCATTTTTCCTCCCAGAGATGAGCAGTCTGGGAATCACTGTCTTAAACGTTGCCCCGGCTTACGGCTGCATTTCCAGGAGGGCTCGGTGTATTTCCTGGAAGGAGGGCCGCTCCTTGGTGTTCCTCCTCCAGCAGCTCAGCATGATCTTGTAGAGCATGTCTGGACACAGCACAGGCTGAGGCAGGTAGATCTGCACGACATGGAGGCGAGGAGATAAGTCACGGAATCCACTCGTTTGTTTATTTACATGTGGATGAAATGTTTGTAGCGACACTCACCTGTCTTTTCTGGTCCCTGAAGAATTCCCCGGTGTTTTCTATCACCTGCTCATCAGTGAGCTGGGAGTAGGGCTGCTCCTTGCAGAAGTTTAGTATCTCCCACAGGGTGACCCCGAAGGCCCACACATCGCTAGCTGTGGTGAACTTACCCTGCGACACAAAACATGGTGACATGTCTATCAGCTCAATTACTCACCCAGTGTTCATTGAATTTGTGAAGAAACCTTTTATTTTTCTTGCACGCCTCCACGATGAACGGAGAATCCAAAACCGGAGAAAATTCTTGATGAATTGAAGTAAACTACATCAAAACGTCCGTTTACAAACTCTCACACAACTCGTGCAGTATAATCACAGTCTCATTTATCCAGTCGAACGCTCACTACTTCACAAACATATGCATCATCATAAACAGCTACTTGCCCGTCTGAGTCCGTTTTTAAATAGTACGATTTTAAATGTGTTTGGTAAGTTGTGAGCATACGACTGGATGAATAAGACTTGGATTATGCTGCACAAGTTTTTTGAGAGCTTGCCCCCATTTACTTAAATTCATCAAGAATCGTCTCTGTTTTTGGTTTCTTATTTCATCATGGAGGCGTGAGAGAAAGACGAAGTTTTCTTCAAGAATTCAAAGTAACACAGGCCGAGTAATTGATACACAAACGGTCATTTTGTGGGTGAAGTATTCCTTGAAGTCGAGGTCCTCACCAGCAGAATGCTCTCCCACGACATCCAGCGTATAGGCAGCACCGCTCTGCCCTGGATGCGGTAGTAGTCACCGCTGTACAGGTTTCTGCTCATGCCAAAGTCAGCTATCTTTATCGTGTAGTTCTTGCCCACCAGGCAATTCCGCGTGGCCAAGTCCCGATGAACAAAGTTTAGAGAGGAGAGGTACTTCATCCCCGACGCAATCTGAGCCGCCATGTAGCACAGATTATTGAAGCTGGAGAGGAGAGAAAAGAAACAATAAAAAACACACAAAGACAAATAGGCAGCCGTCTCTCACTCGTTTCTTTCGACTCACCTGACTGTAGGCGCGTTGCTGAGCAGAGCCAGTTGTCCCTCGGGTTCGTGGCGGGACAGAAACTGGTTGAGATCTCCGTTCTCCATGTACTCTGTGATCATACAGAGAGGGTCGCTGTAGATGCACACGGCCAGCAGGCGAATGATGTTGGGGTCCTTCAAACGCGACATGATCTTTATCTCTTTCAGGAAGTCATTCCTACCGAAACACACACGCAAAAAAAGTACTTTACACAGAGAGAAATCATAATCATATCAACTTTATCATTTCAAGATGTATCTTCAGTTTCAGCTACATGTACAGGCTAAACATGTAGGTGTTTGGTGCAGATCACTCAGGCGCCTGGAGTCCATACCTTGCATTTTTGTCGGCGTCTGAACGGAGCATCTTCACGGCCACTAAAACTGGCTGGTCCTCGGGGATGTCAAATAAAAACTCCTTGTTCATGAACTCCTGCATTCCCCCTGCTTCACACAGGTGCACCTGAGGGGAGAGGAGGAATGCAATGTTTTAAATCTTTATGCTTTAAGCTCATCTAAAGCTAGAGGAGGAAAGACGAAGCTGCACACACACACACACACACACACACACCTCTCCAAACTGGCCCTCTCCCAGCTTCTCCTTGAACGTGAGCAGTTTTCGCGGGAACTCCTCCACTGCAACGTCCTTCCCTGACAACAGGTCCATAGCCAGCGCGGGGATGGCGTACGTGTTGCTTCCGGTCACGCCTTGCAGGTTCACGATGTCGGCCTCTGCGTAGTGAGGGGCGCCATCTTGGACGACGGTGGTTGTGGTGGATTTAGAAGCTGCTGTGCTGGTTGAAGCTGGAACAGAATATGGGGAACTTTTGACTAACAATCCCAATGAGATAAGGGATTGACCACGCCGTTAATCAGTTTAAATGGATGTGAAACAGTTTTTTACCACCTACCGGGCTCCTCCGAGCTCTGAGCAAACTCCGGCAGCTTACATATGATGCGCGATGGCTCCTGATAGTCTGGACCGAGGGGGAAGATGCGCTCGTATGTGGAATTAGACTCCTGCTCAATGATTGTGCTCGACTGGTTGTGGTTGTAAGCGAACGTCTCACTCTGTATTGACAAACTAGCAGTTAGTTCATCGTCCAGCATCCGGCGAGAGGCCTAGAATAAAGGACGTGGGGGGGTGAAGGAACAGATCTGAACACCTCCCGAAAGAAGACTCAATGGAAATGACTCAACATGCACAGGCTGGTATCAGTTTGATGCATTTTTTAAACTTGAGCTCACCTTCTCCAACATCTTCTGCCACACCTGCCTCCACAGGATGATGACGATGATGACCACGAGGATGAGGATGATGGCCACTAAACAACCAATCAGAATGCGGGTGTTGCTGTCATCTATTTTGTGGGTTGGGTCGTCCTCTGGGGAAGGGAGACAAGAAGAGACACATTTGACTGTTTGCATCAAGCGGCAAACTCCGCTGCTGAGGAATGAAGTCTGACGCGGAAGTGACAAAAACTGCACTTTCTTGAATGAGCAACACGAACCAGACTTAAAACACGCCAAAGGGAAATCCAACATCACTTCCATCTTCTTGGACTATTGTTACTATTCATCAAGTGTGTGTGAGTGTGGAGGGATCACTGACCTGGTTGTATGTTGGGGGGCAGTCCTGTCTTGGGTGGAGCCAGTGTTGTGTTGTACATGGCTGTATCTAAAAAAAAGGCCAGATGACACAGAGATGATCAGAAATTAAATTGTTCATCTTAAATCAGAAGGCCTCAAAACAGACTTTAATAATATCAAATAATATACACTTTTGAGTCTTCAAATACGTGCAGAAGTAAATGAAGTAAAACTATATATACATATGAAAGTACCAGAGATCTTATTATAAAGATTATACACACAGTTCTTCGGTCTATACCTGACTGGAAGGTGATCTCGCTGAACAACATCCAGGCGTCTGCAAAGTAGAACTGGCACTTGATGGCGCTGGCCATGTGATTGGCCAGGTTGACGGTGATGAAGCGGGCGCTGGGATTCTTCTCGTCCTCCACGGGGCTGAAGGCGAGCGGCGTGGCCTCCCAGTCCGCCTCAGAGCGGAAGTAACACACCACCTGGCGGAAGGCCTTGATGTGCCCAGAGTACATGTTGTTGCAGTGGACCTGGACGCAGATGAAGACACTTTTAGTGCTGGTGAGGATAAAGAAAATAATAAAAAAAACACACGCTTGTATCATCAGGAGACCTCACCTTCATGGTGGTGAAGTTGCGTATGCGGTCAAATTCAAACATGATTTCAACATATCCACTGGGGAAGCTCTCGTTGGTCCAACCCACGTAGTCGTAGCCGGGCCACACATTGTAGACGTGACTGTGTGTAAAATCATCCAGGCCGCACACGCCATCCGTCAGCTGCCCCAAGCCCTCTGTCATACTGAGACACAAAGACGTGTAAAAGAGAAGGCAGCAGACACAGAGGAACATCCTTTTATCGTACTTTCACTGTTTGAATCGGCCACTAAACACGACAGGAACAGAGAACAACAGACAATCAGGACTGGAGAGAAAGTCTCTGGTGCCAGACTGCCTTCCAGTATATACTCCTCCAGAAGTCAGGAAACATCACTGCAGACCCTCTGATAACACTGTACGGCAAAATAATCCCAACACAAGAGCAGTTTCTCTCTGCAGGCCGTCACTCTGATGAACACTTAATATCAGTTACACCCTGTCACTAACACAATAACACCAAAATGATCACTGCTGTCGTTTTTAAGTTTTACAGTTATTAATGCACAATTAGTTTTCTAATATGTACATATCATCCGTTACTGCCAATATAAATCCTACATCCTTTACATGTACATACTGTACATACTCATAAAGTCCATTCAGTATTTATTTATATATTCGCACTCTTTGTATTGTTTACAATTTAAAGAACACTTGACTTGTATATCAACGGTTATATATATTTATTTATTTTTAATTTTTTTATTTTAGTATTTATATTTACACCTATTTTTCACTATTTGCACACATAACAAAAAAACAATGTTGCCAAAGCAGCATATCACAAAGGTACACAATAATAATATAGATACCACAATATTAACAGAACATTATATTTCTTACATATTATGTGTAAGTGCTTTGGGAGAGATGCGAAAAATACAGAGTCGCATTCATTTTATGTGCTCACAAACTTGGCCAATAAAGCAGATTCTTCAAAAGCGCTTCTGTAAGGTGGTGCAACAGCTTACCACTAGGTGGCAGCATTCTAAAGCCGATTCTTCTCTTCTGCATTTGGCTGTGATATCGTAATAAAGGCCATTTTCTTTTCTCTCTGCACTGTTGCCTCCACATGGAGATTGAAGCCTGCCATGTGTCATGGAGGACATTATTCACCACGACATGAACCAAACACCGCCGCCAACAAGAGAGTGACTGGCTCATTCCGGCCTCTAAACTTCAGCACGGTTGACTCAGTCATTCCTATGAGGTATTGCTCAACTAAGTAAACCACCGTGACCTCTCTCTGCGTTCCCCATGGTGACGGAGCAACAACAAGGTGAGGCGGGGAAAAAACACTGACGAAGGAAGAGAGCGATGATGAAGCAGAGTAGTGGTGGGTGAAACAGGAAGGAGGAGGAAATAATGTGAAACACACACACACACACACACACACACACACACACACACACCTGTGGATGACAGCACCGTCATAGACAGAGTCGTTGAAATAAGCAGGGTAAGCAGGCGAGCTCATCTGTTCTCCTGCTGGAGCGTTGTACGACACGAGACCATCTGTAAAGCAAAAAAATAAAGTCCATCATTCTAAAAACTCATGCTGTGCAGATAAGCACTGCTCAAAACCACAGAAGGTTGTTTCACAATAGTAGCTGGAAGCTTCAGCTCCAAAAATGAGGCCCTGTGCATGGGTAGAACTTTCCATTATGAATATGTAATGTTTTCAGACAGTTGAAGAAATGTTTTATTCGACTTACAATCTGTTTCCCCACAAAGCTTCAGCTATCAGATAATATGGACTTTTTTTGCTTTTCTCATATTTCACTTGGTTTTTGTCTTTGATTGGATCTCAAATTTGACCAAACTTAGAGCCTCATAGTTTGAAGGGTAAAGCCACCAACCAAGGGCCGGTATCTGATGAAATACCAAACAAAACCTCTGTAAATTTAAAGTGGTTACTCAATATCCAGTAACTATGATTATTGTTTTGTCCATCGGGGTTGTTCAAGGTGTCAGAGAGTCAGCTGATCCTTTCTATCTTTAGCTCAAAGTTAAGGTCATCTTTGCTCAGCACTTCCTCGCTTATCCGTCCTCACATATCCTCTCTTTCCTCATCATCATCATCATCAGCCACCTCTCACCCAGCCATTCACAGCCGTAGAGCTCCACTCTCATGCAGACGTTCATGGAGTGGTCCGTGACGGGCATGAAGCGGACGAAGCGAGCGATGATGGGCGGCTCCAGGTCCTTCAGCACGATGTCGTAGGCGTTCCTGTTTCCCTCAATCACCTGCGGGTCGAAACAAACGCACCTTCAGCTCATGAAGTATCTCACTAGTGATTGAGAACGACCCATGACCTCATGACCAATCAACGAATCAGTCCAATCTCTTTTAGGACTATAAACACAGCCATGATGAGCATCAGAACATCTGTATCAGAAGTTTGTTATAAAGGTAAAATTGATTACACAGTGACATCAAGGCCCAGTGTGAAGACGTACCTGCTTGCCCTGCCGATTTCTCCACGAGATCCAGCGGCTCCCGTCGCGGCTGTACTTGATCTTGTACATCTGGGAGAACTCATTTCCGATGCCTCCCGCATGACGACCCTGGGTGCCCGCCAGGGTGATGAAGTGGAGCGAGCGCAGGTCAATCTGGAGGAACTCCTTCAGGCTGTCTGGCTCCACCGTTATCTCCGGACACCAGGCGCCGTCGCCCTCCTCAAAGTCCAACCTGGGTTAGATAGAGAGAGAGAGAGAGAGAGAGAGAGAGAGAGAGAGAGAGAGAGAGAGAGAGAGACACAGAGAGAGAGAGAGAGAGAGAGAGAGAGAGAGAGAGAGAGAAGGGAGGAAATAACTGTGGATGTTCATATTCGTATTACAGCAGGAAAGAGAGGAGAGCCGGGAGGAAGAATAAGTAGAACAGGATGGAGAGGAAAAAGGTGAGAGGAAAGTAAAAGCGAGTGCGGTGGTGGACTTATGAAAACATCTCGGTGAAGTCTTAAGTCGTGAATTTGTCTTAAAGTGTTAATTTTGGGCACAGGAACTGGTAGGGGTGAGGAGGGGAAACTGGGCGAGACGGAAAAAACACAGCCGGGATGGATGGTGAAAGTGTGTTACATCCTTATCCTTACTGAAGGCCCACCCAAGTTCTGCTGCACACACACACACACACACACACACACACACACACACAAATGCCTCCTTAATCATGTGGCTGTCAGTAGAACTGATACCCCAGTTTGTGGCTTACTGCAAATAAACAGGCTCAAGCACCTTTGCAGTAAAAGCCACCCACACACACATTCATTATCAGGGTTAACACACAATGAAGCACGTGTGTGAGCGTGTCTGTGCTTGTGTGAAAGATACATACCTGCCGTATCTAGCAGCGGTGGACTCGGACCACTGGCTGGAGGCGGAGATGTCCTCGTCCTGTATCTGCCCTCCTGACATGCCCAGAGGATACCGACACACACCTGAGACACAACAACGTGTTTGATTACTCGATTGATCAGGTCAGGAGGGTCAACAGATGAGCGTCCACTCATCCTGTCTCTTATCAAGAGAAGGGGAGCGACTAATTACAAGTGCTGTTTTTAATTCACTGGTGCTTTTTTGCAGTACATTCTGAAAGCAGTATTTCTATTCTAACTTACTGGAAGTTTTTGGGAAATACTTACGTTATATGAGCGGCATATATATTCCTATTAGATTAGAAAATCTATGTTTAATTTTATGTTGTTTAACTTTTCAGCCATTTTTATTTGTAAAGCACTTTGTAACCTCTGTTTTGAAAAGGGCTTTATGAATAAAGTTTATTGTTTTTATTGAATTGAAATACATACTTTCAGGATCCTTCTGGCAATTATTTATAAAAATAAACTGAGTAGCTCATTTTTTAAATATTTACTTGAATAGTTTTTAATAAGACTACTCTTACTAGCTACTCAAGTCTATCACAATGCTTCTATTTAAGGATATTCTCGTTCCACCACTGGTATTTAAGGCAAACTGGATTATCACCACACTCTGAATCATGCAGCTCCCCCAACTTCTCTCAGACCAACCACAGCGCTGGTCGGCGTTGAAAAATTTGAAACCAAACTCAAACATTCACCAGGCGCTCGCAGACATTTCTAAGACAGAACGACTTAATTCCCAGCTCCTGTCAAAAGAAAACCTGCAAAAAACATGATGGATAGTGCTGGATGAAGGGGTGGGGTGGTGATGTGAGAGTACCACACACATGCACCCACACACACACACACATGCATATGTCCACACTCATATTGTGGTCGCTTTATTGAAATAATAAGCTGGATCCATTCATTGTTTCTGCCAGTCCAAACAGTGCTGGTATCAAGTACATGTTGTTACAGTATGTGTGTGTGTGTGTGTGTGTGTGTGTGTGGTAACGCTGGCAGCATTGAGCCCATCACGCCCCCACCGTGCGGTCAATAGGAGCAATATGCCCTCTGTTTCCTGCATGCCCGTCCACCCCCTCATGTCTCCTCTCTGTCCTCCTCTCACTCCTCCTGTGTGGTCTCTCCCTTCTCTCTTTTCTTTTGTCCCTTTTCAGTGAGCGAGAGCTGATAAAAAAATAAAGCGTGATTTAGGAAAAGACTCAGCTGGCTAGAGGCTAACTGAGCGTGACACATCCAACATGGTATCTAATATACTTTTACAAGGCTCTGAATGATTCTACTGATTTCTGGGTGTTTTCAAGAGCAAAAAGAATGAAAGGGCACTTTTCCATCACGTGTTATCTACAGGGGTTGGTTTTGTTTTTGGGCCTAATTTCGACTACGTTTACATGCTTTTGTCCTTATTCCTTAAACAGACAATATTTCTAGTAAGCTGTTCACATGGCTAATGAAAATTAATATAATATTAATATTTCCGTCCACATGCAGGTGGGACCATGTCACTGTTTTACAAGTCCCAAGTCAAGACAGACAAGTCACAATGCTGTCGTCACCAAATGTAATGCCATCTTCGTCTGCAGTATGCCATTTTGCATACTGCAATTTTGATTTTTTTTGACTAATGCATGTATTTTTGTTCGTGGACGACATGATCTTTGGTATCATTTTTGTGCTCAGTAACGTCGGTTGCTGTCGGTTTGGTTCAAACCAAAGTGGATCTGGAGAATTAAGTGTCGACTTGCCGGGAATGAACAGCGTCAATGTTAGTTGATTTAGGACATGAACTGAATCGTGACACACTTTTTAAATAACATACTTTTTAATCTTCGGGCTGAGGGGGAAGGTATCAAGTATTTTCAAAAGGTTCAAGTCCAAGAAAAGTCATGAGTCATTTCGTTATAAGTCCAAGTCGAGTTAAAAGTCTTTTTTCGATTTTGTCAAGTTGAGTCTAAAACCATCCAATTTGTGACTCCAGTTTGACTCAAGTCCAAGTTATGTCCACACCTTGAATGCTGACGTACGTTCTACGGCTGCGCCCTTTAATCAACTCAAACAATAACGATGTTTAAAAGTAGGTGTGTTTCTCCTTCCAAACCAGAAAAGTGGGCTTCTCTTTTGCGTATGCATTCCTACTCTAAACTGGTTGGCTATAGTTCATTTGTGTACAACACCCCGAGCTGGTTGTAAACAGGAGGCAGTGCGTCTCACACCGCCGTAAAATCTCAATTGAGACGCATATTCTTAATACGCTTTTATACATGTCCAGAGAATATTCCTAAAACCAGAATAACATCGGCATCTCACTCATTCAGAATAAAGCCTAATTCAGATTATCCAAACGGATTATGCTGTTTACGTGACCCATATTACATTCAGAATATTGTAACATTGGAGGTAATAGTGGCATAATAGTGTGCATGTAAACATAGTCAGTGACCACTCCACCTCACAGGATGTGACTGCTAGTTAGCCTCATTTATGGATGAAAGAGCCTTTTGGCAAAAACTTGATTTCTGTGTATGCGATAGCGGCTTTCAGCGGAGCTGCAGGCGGAAGTTAAAAGCCAACTGGCCCTGTTAGCCTGGCCCCCTTGTCTCACAGGAAAACCTTTGAGAAGAAGCCAGCAACAGCAGCGCTGCAGGTTCAAGGCCTTCTCTGTCCCTCTCCTGCTCTTTTTTATTTCCTTCTTTTTCTCTCTTCTTCTTTTTTTCTTGA